GAGCGAGATGGTAGATTCTCAACCTGAGGAAATCTAGACTTGCTTCATTAAGGGCTTTAGCATGGCAGAAAGGGCTGGGCGGAAGGGGAAATAAGGAGGGCCAGGGAATGTGAGACAGTCTAGGTTGCTGAGATATCGTGTCAACATACCGTATATCAGCTAAGATGACGTCTTAGCTTCCTGTCTGGCTGGGCTACTATTTCATTTAGTTTCAAGTGTTTATACTGATCGGGTTGTATCGCTGTGTCTATTGTTGTGTGCAGATGACCATGTGAACCAAGACCTGGTCACGCTTGACCTTCAACTATATCGGAAAACAGCACCTGGGAACAGACCAATATGTGTTCTCCAACTGCGGTGTAAAATACGCTACAGCATTTGATTGTGAAACAGGTTCCCTATTTTGAGCTGTAGGATGTGCTCTCGTTTTTGTTTTGTCTTTCTTTTCTTTTTTTTTTTTTTTGGGGGTGTGTGTGTGTGTGGGGGTTATTGTTGTTGTTTTGTTTGTTTTTTTCTTCTTCTTTTTTTCCTGTGTGTGTGTTTGTTTAGGGGTTTTTGGTGGGAGGTTGTTGCTGTTGTTTTTATGTGAAGCATTGACTTGCAATTGCATGTGTGTTACTGGTGCCCCCCTGGGACAGGATACGGTCCTTTGCATGGATACCTAGTACCATCAGCAGATGGAGTTTCTCAAAACAATACAATACGCTATCATGCGCTATCTCGATTATTTATGGTAACAAAGCAGTAACTGAAAGTCAGTGACGACACTACAACACTCAGACTTACTTTTTACACGTTTCTTACTAGATATACAGATTCTTCCTGCAGCTGAAGTATCGTAAGCGCATGGAATTTGTTTCATGGGGTATATTTTCCTCGTCTCCGTTTTATGAAACACCCGCCGCTCTATAGTCTGGAACATAACAAATACCATCTGCAACGCCCTTAATGAAAATATTCCTGACAATGATATTTGATGTCATTTGAGTTAAGATATTCAGACCTTGTCGCCGTTTCAGGTAGGGTCAAGGCCACCCAAATGATGTGTCCCTCAGGGCAGTGCCAAGATCCCTGACCATGGGTTCAAATCCGGATGAGACTCAGTCAATAAAACAGCAAACCATAGGTTTCATTTAGATTGCTTACGTATGCTAACACGCTGATGTCCTACCTCAAAACAAGACGTTCAACCCATCTCAATCTCCGCTATTAGAGATTTAGATTCAGCTTCAAAGACGTGTACACATACTTTCAAGCTGAGGTTCCGCTTTTTTCGAGATGTTGGTCTCGCTATAGTTTTAAAAATTTCATTCATCTACAGACAGCAACGTAACACTGCATTCAGATGCCCTATAATGAGTCATTTACGGTCCAATCTATGGCAACATAAAGAGCTACCCGACAAGTAGGCAGTTTGTCATAAATCGATCAGTACACATCAACATTGAAGCCGATAAGCCGATGTGTGCATTCGTTATGGGCTACAAACAGTAACCTGAGCTGGTATTGGGCCATTGACGAGCTGCACAGTTTATGTTTCTGTTTAATCGATATCATTTTTAGCTTTGCCTGCTTGTATGTTTTATATGCGTTATAGTATAATCCACCCTCTGTTTAATCGAACGTGCATGTATTGACAAAGAAACCTTTTAGTAATTTAAAAGCATTAAATGACAATATGTTCACACAACACTCTTCAGTATAATGCATGCATGGATGCATAATCCTTTTTCGGAAAGCTGGGCCTGGGCCCCGTTCCTCAAAGCGATCGTAGCGCTAAGGTGATTGTAACTCCCATACCTTAACATAGAATTACGACTGTCGTAGCGCTACGATCGCTTTGAGGAACGGGGCCCTGGACGGTAATTACTAAGGTGGTGCGGGAAACTATTTCAGTATGGTAAGGCGAGGCTGGAAGGTATGCATGAGGGATAGGGTGGGCTAGGGAAGATATGCATGGATGTTACGGTGGTGTAGGAAGATATGCATGGGTTGTGATGCCGTACTTGAAAACATAAGTAGTGTGGTGATGCGGGCAAACTTACTCACTCACTCTAACGATTAGAGGTTGTTAGGTATTTATAACAAAATAATTAATGGAATATATTTTCTTGACATAGTTTAAGAATATATTGTAGTGATGAAAAGGAACAGTTACTATGTGGCCTAAGTAAATTAGCAGAATGAAACGTGTCAAAAGAGTAAATGTCCACATACTCTCTATACGGTGGTGGCATGGCGTGTCCTTCTCTATCCCCGGTATGACCCGTTAGGTGGGAATGTTCGTTCGATACAATCGGGCGTCTGTGACAATATAACTTCACGGGTTGTCTCCCCGTGGACAATCTAGTTCACGTTCTGACTCTTTGTCTGATGCAAGTTCATTACAGAGTCGGCACGTCAGGCCCCGAGTAACAATGTCGATATAGGGGATATAGAAATGTTGTTCGAGTGACAGATCTGGACGTGAATGCCTCTACACGGGAATAACACGGGAAATAAGTACGGGAAAGATGCTGGTTCTGGGATGTCCAAATTTGATGAAAGTAATTATAAACTCTCCCAAAAGAAACGCATCATGAAAATGGCAATTTCATGTAGCAATGAATTAAAACGTGATTCATTTTACAAAAGGTTTTGCTCTGTTAATGAGTCCTATGGTGTTTATGTTTAGAAACATGACAACAAAACGCACCATCCGTAAAATACCCGTATTTAACAGCATGATTTTCAATTTCGGCGTGTAGTGTCACAGAATACACAATTCACATGCAATGCACGTGAAATTTGGGGATCAGATAGTCTCAATGATGGGTATAAAAGGTTGATCGCTGTCTGTCGATTATTCACTGTATTTGGAATATTGTTGACGAACGCAAAATGCCACGTCTAAGTGAAGCCAACCGTCATATCGCCATTGGTTTGCCTGAAGCTGGCCAGTCTCAACGTGCAGTTGCCCGACGCATGAATGTTCACCAAAGCACCATACGGCTCTGGGAGAGATATCGCCGGCAGAATTCGGTAGCAGATGCCCCTCGTAGTGGGCGACCTCGAGCGACCACTGCGGCGCAGGATCGCTACATCCGGGTGCATCACCTGCGTCATCGAACAGCTACGGCGACCAGTACCGCTCGACAAATACCCGGATTGAGGAGGCTTTCTGCTCAGTCCGTCAGGAACAGGTTGAGAGAGGCTGATTTACGTGCCAGAAGACCTTATTTTGGCCCTGTGCGTCGACAAGAACATCGTCGACATCGAGTTCAATGGTGCACCAACGTTCAGGCCTGGGACCTACCGAATTGGCGTAGAATCTTGGTCAGTGATGAATCACGATTTCTATTGGAATGACGCCATGGAAGAATGCGGGTGTACAGACGTCGACGTGAACGTTTCGCCGACGCTTGCGTTCCCCAGGTGGACAGATTCGGCCGGGAAAGTGTTATGATGTGGGGAGCGATCACCTGCCGTAGGAGAAGTGATTTGGTGATGATCCAGGGCAACCTGACAGCTCAACGGTACTGTGACGAAATCCTACGCCCACACCTCCTTCCAATCATTGATCGCCAGAAGGAGTTGTTACAACAGAACAATGCCAGGCCCCACACAGCACGTCACACTAGAGACTTCCTCCAGAACCACAACATCAATGTGCTCCCCTGGCCCTCAAGATCACCGGACTTGAACCCGATCGAACATCGGGGGGATGCCCTGGACGGACGGGTGCGACGCCGTAACCCTCAGCCCCAGACACTTCAGCAACTCGCACAGGCACTACAGGCAGAGTGGGCTGCGATTGGGCAACACGAGATTCTAAGACTTATTCGTTCGATGCCGAGGCGATGCCGTGCAGGTCTGGATGCCCACGGTGGTCACACGAGGTATTGACTTCAGCGCCACCACACGTCTCCATGTGACACTCAAACTGACTTTCCTCGAGTTGGTGCCAAGGACGGATAAGTCTGCATTCCCAGTGTGCAATTTCGCTATATTTCATTGACTCATAAAGCCTACAAGATGTTTCAAAATGAACATAAAAATACTGTTGAAATTCCTATATGCGGTTCTTTTTGGGGAGAGTATATTATTATGATTATAATGTAGCTCTATCATGTTCTCGTTGCAGTTTGACCTGTCGTGGACTGGAAAGTGTGCTGTACAAATACAAAATTTAATGAAATTTTTATAAAGGCAAATTATTCATTAGTAAAAAGCCTTATTATTTATTCCGACATTTACTTGAGGTCTACATGTCATAATGATTGGAAATTCGTATAGTATCACGTGAAGATGCATCTTTCACGCCATCAAGTGATCGATGACATGTAACATTGAAGACAAAATAAGGAAGCAGATTTCAATCCACTTGTGCAAGTGAACCACACACCCTTGGAAAAACGAGTATATGGCTGACATAATGCTGATGCCGCGTAAACCTCAACTCAACTCAATCCATCTGGCGCGCGGTATCTATTGGGGCGATGTGAATACTCCTTAGCCCACTTAATAACTCCCAAGCCTTTAAAGCTTTCCACTGGTACCAATCTGAAAAGAAAATACTTCGGCGCCACCCACCAACATATTTTCATACCCAATTTAAACATGCAACCCTAACAATCCACTCAGATGGACCTCTCTGTCGGTCGTAACTACCCCTCTTTTGATCTAACACAAAATGATCTGGTGTGTGCGAAATGCGCATCACGTCGGAAAGCGCACGTAAAATCTACAAATCATTGCTCTCTGTGAGCTCTCGCACACTGTCATGTGAAGCAATATTCCAGCAGCATCAGCCTTTACCGTCGACATTCCACAGCGTTTGAGGTACAGACGTGCAGCCTTTTTCACTTTCTAATCTAGCTCAGACATTGTTTGATAAAGGTAATAACATCCATTGCCTCAATAATGCTTCAGAAAGTTTATGGTCAGTGTTTTGTTTTTACCCCTTCGGTAACATGCATTCAAATGTGTTTACGGTCTCATTAAAAAACAAAACTCCATGGCAAAGTCAGAAATACAGTTTAATATATCACACTTTAAATGTAACGACTATATATAACTCAACAGTCAAATAAATAGGAAAACACTACTAACACATAGCAAGCTTAACTTAACACCCAAGTTACCTCGGTACTGGTAGAGTCACGACCCGTTGTTTCCCCTTTGGCATACTGCAATACATGCTTAAACCAACACCTCAACACCTCTATCGAAAGCTGTCTGTGTTTTCCTGTCTAACAGGTAACATTATGTTACCTATGTACAGTGGGCTGATACTTGGGATGGTAGGCTAAATAATTTCACTGTTTAGGTCACGGAGGTGAGGTGAGGTGAGGTGAGGTGAAATTAAGTTTAACGTCGCGCTGGAGAATATTTCGCTCATATGACGACGTGCATGCGTGTGTATGTGCGGCTGCTTGTACTAGCCCAGACTGAAGCTGGTTTTATAGTGCTAGCCCACTTAGATACCATGCTGCGGTGAAGCATGAATACCCCACTCAGACACATTATACTGACTCCGACCCGACCAGTCCTTGTTGTACCCATTAATGCCGAGCGCATGGCAGGGACCAACAAGTACCATATTTTAACGTCTTTTGGTATGACGCGGTCGGGGATCGAACCCGCGACCTTCCGCTCTCCGGGCGGACGCTCTAACCTCTACACCACGGAGGCTGTCTTTTAGGTCACGGAACTTACTGACATTGCTAAAATGTTTTTGAAAGCTTGAAGACTGGAGAACTCCGGCAGTAGTTCACTGTAGGAGATGCACTACTCGCTATAGTCCAATGTCTGATGAACGTCGGATGCCGTCACTGACATGTGAACGAGTCAAAAGCCGCCAAGAGCAGTGTGTTGGGTATCTCACGGCGTGTAAGGCTTGATGTGGGACGACAAATCCGGGTTGATGTAGGTCGCAGACCTTTGACAGTTGGTGATGTCAAACCTAGAAACATGGGTAAACAGACAGCTTCACGAAGCAGAGGAAACAGATGATACCAGAATGGACGCCCACGTGTGTACATGTGACTGATCTATTCAGGGTGGATCACGGAAAGTGAAACTAATGTATTGTCGTATATTTCGCTGGGAGTATATATAATGTGGTGGCATACACAAATATGGGCGACATGATACAAACGCCTGCATCGTCTCAACATTGCTTACACATGATATGGTACATGGAGTTTCTCATACACATCAAACATGATAAGCCGAGCGCATATCGTCAGGGCCTGTGGCGTGTTCCATAAGGCGGTCTTTGCGCTTCGATTACCGTTACATGGTCGTCCATGGATTTACGATAGTCCTGACGCCTAAATCGACTCGTGGATGTATCGGAGCATTGTTCACAAGTTGACCAATAAAGGCAACATCAACATTCACTCCCGCCTGAACAGTACAAGATATTTGAGCTCTGGCCTTATCACCTATTGCCTTTAAAACAAGACCTTCGCGCAAACTCCGACTCTAGGGTAAGCTTTGACATGAAACCAAATACATATGACATACACGTATGTGCTGTTAGTAAATACACCGTAGGCACAATCTACACGTGTTATTAACTCCACAACTCTTTTATGACAGAGTATGTTTGTATGAGCAAATATTTGATAATATTGTGGCATAATAATGTAATATGTACAATGAAGGAACGAAACGTATTTCCACAATTCATGATTGAAGACCAGACCGAAGAAAATGAAAGGTATAAGTACAAATTCTCTTACCTTACATTACACAGAAATTCGAATACCCTTACTTTTAAATTTAAAGAACCTCTTCGCCTGAGTCGACACCCTTTGTTTGTGCGCTTGTGTGTCAAATAACAAAGACAGAAGAAAAGCTGGGTTGTCACAGGTAATGGCGATATACTCTCAGGTTATACTGGTGAACGGGGAAACGAACGCTGCTAACTTACTGTGAGTGTGAAAACATACCCTACGAACTTATTGTGAGTGTGGAAACATACCCTACGAACTTATTGTGAGTGTGGAAACACTACATTTCCAAATTACTGTGATTGTGGAAGCATACGTTGCCAACTTAGTGTGGTTGTGGAAACATACGTTTCCAACTTACTGTGAGTGTGGAAACATACGCTACCAATTTACTATGGTTGTGGAAACATACGTTGCCAACTTACAGAGAGTGTGGAAACATACGGTACCAACTGACAGTGAGTGTGGAAACATACGGTACCAACTGACAGTGAGTATGGAAACATACAAAAGAAACATAATATCAAAACCAATTTCCAAACTAATAACGAATATTAACCACAAGTTGTCCAAGCATAGCCTGTTAAAGCAAGAGACGTTGTGAATTCAATGGAAGGCATTGCAGACACAATACCGGGATTGATGTTGCTTTTACCGACTGTGAACACCAACTGTTTATGGAATGACTTGGCTGAAAGCCTATGTATCCATCTTATCACAGACATTTAAACTACATTGATCCATCGAAATCAGCATGCACGTACCGCCAACACCCAGGAGCTGAAAGACGATACATTGAGGACGATGCGACACAATGACACCCACCATGGATATATAATCTCTACCAGAATTGCACAAAGCTCTGTCCAAGGAGAAAAGCGCATTTCACAGTCCAGCACATACATCTCTTAAAAGTAGATTTATTACAGTGAAACATTTATAGTGTGGTGAGGTTAAATTGACAGGTGTATCCTTGGGTCCCTGATGACACGACATCTACGTGCCTGGGTTATCATGAAAACCATGATTTTATTAAATCGCACCTTCCTGATAGGCACGTGCTGTTATAAAACACAGGCGACTGAGATGGTTAGTGATATACCTGTTAACGGCCAAGATCATCAGCAGGAGACCGAGAACGAATATAGCAGATAGGGTTTTCTAACAGCAATATTGCCAGAACGTTTCGCTGTACCAGGCAGACCATGATCAGACAAATGGGACGAGTCACCCAGACTGGCCAACATCTGACAGCGACCACCCAGCAAGATGACGATCATCTGCGCATTATCCATCTGTGCAACCGAATGTCCACAGTGACGTCACAGACATCAAAAGCGTTTGGTCACCGAATCAGGAGAAACACAATGATGTCGGCATTTCGGGTCATGTCATCAACCCGTCAACATCGCCAATTGTCGCAATTGGGTACCCATGTATGTGGTATTTTGCCAACGCGTCATTTTTGGGGGGTGAGAAATTAAAATGACAGTTTCTGTGTCTGTAAACATGCCTCTTCTGTCTGAAAATAGGTTACAAATATTGTGACATCAACGTTGGCTTGATATTAAGAACATCAGAGGGGGAGTATAATATAGTGGAATATAAAAGTCTTCATTATTTGAGAGATGCAGTCAAACAACTGTTTCGTACTCTCGTTTAAATGGTACATATTACTATCGCAGAAACCAGTTTATCATGCTTACTTATAGTTTACTTGTAAGACACGTTCAGTTAAGTTCTGTCCCGCCATCTAAAGAGCCAGTAGCGTCCAGGTTGTACACTTCACAATGACTAAAAACAAACCACACGTCAAGCTAAGAAATAATGACAACATTTTGGGTTATACTTCCTGCTAATATGACCCTTGTAAAACATGGCGAAGCTATGTCATGGAGGAAAATGTATATAGTGAGGTGACATGGTCGCCACTGTGAAATCAGGTATGAGAAATTTAATGTAGTTTCATATGAGTCAACCACGACATAACAGCAACTACATGCTGAGCAGTGTGTGACAACGCATCCTGTAAATTACACAGTGATAAAACAAAATGGACGCAATCACCGCCAACGGGTAGACGAACAGATTCAACATATGTACACTTCCGGTTCAGACATGGGGCCAGGATATGTATGTACTGAATGAGTATACTACTCAAAGTTTGAGAGGGATATGGATAGATATATCAATATCCTTCGGTGCACCACATGTACACAATCTGGAGTTCTATTGTAAGATTAGTAGGTTATTACCTTACTAAATGTTTGTGCTGTTTCAACATTTACTCCACGCCTCTCAGATTGCGCGAAGAATGTACACACTTCTATCCTGGATTGCGAAGACGTTTCAGTGTTCTTTTCGTCCTTATCACAGCTCGAGTCAACAACGTACTTGAAGGTCACACCTGTACTCACGACACGCCATTTTGAAATAACATAGGGGTGTTCTCCTCTGATTCTTCTGGAACACGTGACAAATTAACAACGTCATTTCCGTCAGCTGAACGTTGCATTCCTCCGACAGTGATCGTCGTCCCGTTTTGGGTCGTCGTATCGTCAATGTCCTGCGTGATGTCACCGTTGACGGAGGAGGTAAATGACTGACCAATGTCCGACATTGCGATGTTCTGTGTCAGTGAACCACGGTATCGGGTGAAGAAGGACGCGGAGGAATACGCCCTTGACGACCGACCGCTGCACAAAGTGCTGTCGTTTCGCAGTCGATGCCGTACCCATTTCTTCTTTATTTCCGCCCGGACCTGATAGTGGAAGTAAATGCATTTTAGACACAGCATGGATGTAGCAGTTGTTGTAGAACTGCACGTTGTCGTCATGGTACAAGCCGTCGTGTCAGATAGATGTGGGAGGAGAGCTTTAAGTTGTCTGCGATGGTATAAAGTGTTAACAATGTGATAATCAGAATCAGCGCGAATCTGGTACACAGTAGCGTCAGAAGAAAAGGGAGCAGTAGTACTGATAGTCTAAGTAGCTGTAATAGTAGTAGTGGTCACAGCAGTAGCAGCAGCAGACTTAGCAATAATACTGATACTCGTCAAGATCAACCTTCTAAATTCAGAAACTGACATTTTTCATATCCATTGTTGTTGTCAATTGTTTTAGTGTCTTAAAATTCCTATATTTCCGGTCATAATACGTACCTCTCCATTTAGGAAACAGAACAAAAAGGCAACGATGACTCCCTGGAATTAGAAATACTTGTCGTTAAAATGTATTCAGTGAAGATGTTCATGATAGACCTAAATTTTCAGCGAGATTCCGTCGATATGCATATACATATACATTAATTACATTTGTTATCAGACATTGGGTCAGTAGTTTCCAGTACGTGTCACATGTATACATGGAAAGTCTGACCTGGAAGGAATTGAAGATGGTCTCTGTATAGAACTTGATAAGTTTGAGTTGTGGCGCCAGTTCGTCTGGGATGATGATGAAGATGATGTAGTGGACGCCGAACAGAGGGATCAGGACCAGAGTGGATTTGGCCAGTTTCCTGGATAACATAGTCATCATATTAATATTATTTAGATAATCTTTCTAAAGACGCGTCCACGAACCATACACAGACATAACAGACAATTGAGCCTTCGTCAGCAATATTTCAAGAGAACGATTAAGGTAACAAATGACATTGAGAGTAAACTCTAGTGGGCGGTAGAGTGGGAGCGCATTTTTGTAAGCGGAGTCAAACATATGAGCCCTTACAAAGATCAAAACAAACAAAAATCAAAACAAATTCTGATTTAGTTCAAAGCAGATGACTATTAAAAACCATTTTCCCTCTTCATATATAGATCAACTCAGCTGTGGTATCGTGAAACCTGGGACCAATTGGCGTTATGGAAAAGGTACCATGCAGACAGACAGACAGACAGGTTTATTTCATAAATGTGGCCATGAGGCCAATAGTACAAAATGATAAATTAGATTAAACTTTTTCAGAGCGCATGGACATGATTTTGTTCACAAAAATTGCTAGACGGAGTATTATATTATGGTTCTTAGTATTTAGAAGATGTACACATTTTTGTTTATTTAGGTTCATAATATAGGTACTTGGTATGTAGTGAGTTCTTACCGCTGCATATAAAGGACATTTCATTAACACATGATACTCATCTTCTGGTACACATTTACAATAATCGCACATAGCTACACTAATGTCATTGTCTTTAGATCTTCTATTCGAAACTATTTTCAAATTGGTGGAGCCGCATCTGAATTTTGTTAAGACTCTGCGCAGATGTTACGAAGAGAGTGCAATCAAATACAATTCCGGAACAATATCAGATTTAAAGGCAGAATACATATGTAATGATTTTGAGTTTCTTATATCTTGTGTCCATTCTTGGTAGTACATGTCTTTACAACGTTGTTTGAAATGATTTAAAAACAATTCCCAGTTTCCAACAGTTTGATATATCCATACATAAGGAAAGTCAAGTTGAAATAATATTGATAGTACTGCCCAAGCCCAGTTAATATCTCCATTGCCGTCTAGACACTTCAACATATCATACGAGCGACGTGAGTAACGTTTGTCTGGTTGCCGAAGCAGACGTATTCAGAACAAACAACTCGTGTCATATAATTTACATGTAAAGGATATCTCCCACACTCGGCTAAAACTGCCTTGTTCGGTGTGCGATAGCCAACGTTTAGAACGTTTTTACAAAAATTTTAATGTACTTTTTCTATTCCATTGCGGATAACAGTTCAACAAATTTCTGCTCCATATAATAATATAAGTTGGATTATACAGTCAAAGATTTTGAAAAATATATCGGACGGAATTGTTTTATATCTGTACATGAATTTCTTAATAGGAAATAAGGCTTTCTCTGCTTGCTTACACAAAACACAAGCTTTTGTGAATACATTTCTACAGGGTAACGTTAATCCCAGATACTTGTAATAGGAGACAGTTTCTAGTTTCTCTGTTCCAATAGACCATTAGTCTCCAAATATAGCGACATCATCCGCAAACAGAAGAATTGACAGTGCATTTATAGTCTCATCAATAAAAGCGCCACTATAGTCGCTGTTTATGATGTCGTTAACTAATTCATCAATGTACATAATAAATAGGACTGGAGATAAGATACAACCTTGTCGTACTCTCGTCACTGGGTTAAATGTTTCAGACATACTGTACTTCGTACACATAACAGCTGCTTTTGCATGAGTATACACTGAACGTAAAACAGTTCTTATTTTACCATGTAAGCCATTGTTGAGTCTATGTCTATATAGGAGCTTGTTTCTGTCGACGGTATCGAAAGCTTTTGTAAAATCAACAAAAATACAGTAAAATTTTCACGTTTTTTCATTATGTACTTGTGGATAATCGAATTTAGAACAAATATTTGGTCAATAGTACTAGTACTGTAGTCTTCTCTAAACTCTGCTTGCGACTCGGAGATGATATCCTGTGTTGAAGCCCAAAGTTTTATACGTGTATTTAAAATACTTGTGAATACTTTGCTAATTATGTCAAGTAGAGCAATACCCCTGTAGTTATTGGGATCAATTGGCGTTATTGAAAAGGTACGCATGTGAATTATTGTCATTTTGATACAATTTTTTTCACAAATTATTCAAGAATACCCACCAACCAGCAACGTTGCTAATAGCGATGAAAGACTTTCAACAACCACAAAAAATCATTGATAAAGGCTATACGATTTCGACTATATCATGACCGTGATTTATGAAGTAAATACATAGTGATGAAATATCAGAGAGTGATGATGTCCCGCAAAAGGATATCCTGCCCTGCCTGGACAACCCCATCACGATGTGTTTATTGAAACCTCATAAAATACATTTGTTCGGGGCTAGGAGAGTCTTCGAACATGGATAAAAATGAGTTTGCGACTGAACGAAAGATAAAAGAAACTATTAACAGAGCCTTTATGAAGACCGCGATGATGGTCATCATACCTGTAGCGACGAGGGTCGCGGGCGTTGTTGGCCATCAGCTTCGTGAACAGGACCCGGATGATGTTGATGAAGAAGAAGAAATTCACCTACGAGAAAACAATTGACATCAATATTGAGAGTAAGAAAGATAAATAAAAAACATTTTCATAGCTCACAAAACATAACTCAGATTGAATGTGCTGAGTGTTGCCTATTAGAAATAAACATGGGGTCGGGTGGGCAGCGTCTGAATCTCTGATACAGGTCATCGAATCCCAGTTGCGTAGATGGATGACGTCAGTCGGTGTAATGTATTGTCTACACTCGAGTTTTACACATCATCCTCATACAGCTGTAATATTGTAGGGGGGAGCTTTAAACAACAATTAAAACACACAAACAAACAAGAAATCAATAAACATATAATGTATGTTCTGTCCTTGAAAGCTATGGCGCCAACATGCCTGTGGCTTCTCTAGAGGAGAAACTTTGAGGACGGTTATAAGGTTATAGTACAAGCTCAGAATATGCCTATTATTTTAAAACACATGCACGTGGCTAAATTCAAAATTCAGTTTTATCGCTGGTTAAAAACATATAATTATTGACAAGGGGTACACTGTAAACTGGAAGCGACCTTTTTTATTCACATGTTTAAAGGATGACAAAAGCGGATCAGAGTTCCATGCCTTAGCCTTGTCAGGACCAGGTGCTCCTGTATTCTATTGGTACTTTGGTCACGGTCGTATGTTTCAGTAGCGTCCTGTTCTGTTTCCCCCCCAACAAGTCAACATGCAGTGATATGACGTAGTACCCTAGAAGCGTTACACCAACATGTCGCACCGTTCACGTCTCTTGTTACTACACTCTAGCTTACTGAGTTAAAGTCTAACAAAATATCAGTTCTTTATTATATTCTTAAGGGTGAAATACGGTAAATATTTGTGAACATAAAAATGGCATTTTCTCTGAGTAGAATACATGTTCTTACACTGACCAGAATATCGCAAACATTGGCGGCACTTCAAGTTTGTATGTATGTATTAATACGCGCACTGATTGTATCTCCAGACAAAAACTGAAGTATATTTGTTATTAAAGTTCTACATTTACTGTTCATATGAGTTTGTATTTCATAAAATATGACTACAAAAAGTAGAAACATGACATTAATTATTGTAGGATAAAACCTTTAAGCGAACTATTTTGTGTGGGTGCAAGATTGTCAATGGCTAGCTGTAGTTGGGTTGCGTAATAAAATGCAGACTTTTTCGATAAATAGAATATTTTGTTAATGTTGTCAAATAACATGTATATTTCATCTCGTGGTCTGACAAAGTTGATATTAACTTTGTCAGACCACGATATGAAATATACATGTTATTTGACAACATTAACAAAATATCCTCTATATAACGCCAGTAATCAGTAACATAATGAGTAATGTCTATTTCCACTACAGAAACCAAGTTCGCTATATCGGACATTGTTATTCTGGTTGAAACAGTACAGTAGTCAGCTTGTTGCTACATTATGCCTGCACACACGCCTGCTATATTCACTAGGGATATTTTCGGACTGATCATAACCGACGGCAAAAGGTTTAAGATATTGAAATAATACATTTTTTACAGCATGAAATAGACAAACACCTTAACAAGCTTCGTAATAGTGACTTATAAGAAGACTGATCTCTTGTTACTAGAAACACCCTTATTAGTTTGATGCCAAACAGTAAATATACTAGGCACATAAAGAAAACACATAGACAAACACCTTAACAAGCTTCGTAATAGTGACTTACAAGAAGACTGATCTCTTGTTACTAGAAACACCCTTATTAGTTTGATGCCAAACAGTAAATATACTAGGCACATAAAGAAACTGTGCATACAAAAATTTAAAATCTAAATTTATCAAACCTGTGTAGACACATAAGGATTTAAACTCAGAGATTAGTGACATGTATCCAACATGCATGCACGTGCCACGTTCCGTGACGTCAGTGGATTCGTCCTTGAGACGTGCAATACGTTGTTGCACGTGCATTCCGGGAAAGAGAAATAGAGCAAATGAATGCCACACAATACTGTCACTTTGGAAAGCTCAACCCCTGCCCTTGCGATCGTTCAAAACATTAAACAGCTATTGAAACGCATAGCATACCAAGGCTCACGTCTACACAACGTCATTGGGCCATTGGGATGGTCCGTGGGGGAATGTCTCAACGACAAGTGGCTGCACATTTCCACTGCCACCGGAACACCATTTCTGCACTGGTGAGACGCTACCAGAACACGTCATCGATCGGCCACGTTCTGGACGTCCACGTGTAACAACGCCAAGACAGGACAGATGGATAAGGGTGACCCATCTTCGCCACAGGTTTCAGACTGCAGTGATGACTGCTCGAACCATCCCAGTACTTCGCCGTATCCACCCCAACACAGTTCAACAACGTTTACGTCATCACGGGATCAGACCACGACGTCCCGCCATACGGCCTTTCCTGACACAACGTCATCGACAAGCTCGCCGAATGTGGTGCCGAAATCATGTCCGCAGACCCTTGTTTTGGTGGAGAAATGTTGTTTTTACAGATGAGTCCAGGTTTAACATTTCCCATAGTGATGGACGTCAACGTGCCTATAGACGCGTGGGAGAACGTTACGCACAGGCCTGTGTCTTGGAGAGGAATCGCTTTGGTGGTGGTTCCGTGATGATTTGGGGTGGAATAACAGCACGCCAAAGAACTCCTTTGGTGATTGTTCAGGGCAACTTAACTGGTGTGGGCTACAGGGATCAGATTCTTCGACCTGTGGCAATTCCTTTTCTGCAACGTCATGGCCCTGGGTTAACATTCCAACAAGACAATGCCCGCCCTCATACGGCAATGGTTGCTATGGATTTCCTGCAACACCACAACGTTGACTTACTGCCTTGGCCTGCAAATTCACCGGATCTCTCCCCGATAGAGCATGTTTGGGACGAGATGGTTCGACGTCTACGCCGTCTTCCTCATCCGCCAGATAACGTCCTTGGCCTTGCAACAAAATTTGAGAGAATCTGGCGTGACATCCCACAAGCTTTCCTTGCACGTTTGATAGGCTCTATGCGTCGTCGATTCCCTGCTGTTTTCAATGCCGATGGTGGACATACCCGTTATTGAGCTTGTGACATGGTCGTTTGACCCCTGTCCCGCTTGTGGACTCGTGACGTCATTGTGATTGACTTTTCAATTGAAATTCTCCCGACTTGTTATGGTCTCATGATCCCTCCATTAAAGTTTATATGTACCTTTGACATTGTTATCGTACTTATCAACTGGGATAATATTTTGACAATGCACAGTTTCTTTTTGTGGCTAGTATATTAACATCAGCGTCAACAGTCACAGCTACTTTGCCATACATTGCTATACGATAGTGTAGGCTGTTGACTCTCTGTGGAACAGGAGGCAGTCAATTGGAAACTGGAGTGCTTTGAGATCGGCTTGTTGCCTCCCTCCTTGATCGTTGTGTTCCGAGACCAAACACGCCATAAAGTAGCATCTTCAATGGTAATGATTTGTGACAAATTCCTACAAACCGTACATCCTTGAATAAACCTGGAATCAGGTTTCCCAAGTAGTACATGGTTTGGTGAGAGAGCCGGTTACATTTGGATCTTTTGGGGGGAGGGGGTATAGGGGTCACATTATCGGTCTGGGTGTCAATCTGTCGTTTATTCTCGACAGCATGGACTGCTTCTTATGCTACCTAGAACCGATCTAAACCGGAACCTTTTAATATTATAGCTACCTGCGACATAAAGCTACATTTACTCATTTTGGAAAAAACGCAGGCTTTTGTAGGTTTCTTACAATACACGTGCGAATATTGCATGTTTTGTATGTTTACCTTATCACACTTGTTATTAATGATAAACCTGGAACATGCATAGTGATTTAAGTGAGGTAGCCCAGTGGTTAAAGCATTCGCAAGTCACGGCGAAGACCAGGGTTCGATTCCCCACATGGGTACAATGTGTGAAACCCATTTCTGGTGTCCCCCACCGTGATATTGGGCGACGTAAAACCAAAACTCACTCACTCATGTTTATTGAGCTCAATATCAGAACCCGAAGACCTCGAGTTTGCTCCTGCCTGGACAGTAATGAGAGACAAAACGGTAAACATGCTAAGAGAGTCGACTCCACACTGCTGTAGCAGTTCATTTGGCTTTAAGAAGACAAAGCATCAGCTAAGACCTTAAGAAGATATCAGAAATCACTCTTGATGAAACTTCAGACAAAATAGAATCCGTATCGGAAATCAGATCCTCTGATGTTTTCCTCCAGTGACTATGGATTCGTAACTTTGGTTTCACTTTGCAGTTTGCGCGTTTGAAACCCGGAAGGTGAGCCTAATGAAGGCTGAAAGCAAATTGGGTTTCTAAACTTAGTAACTGTTTAGTTAATGATTAAAAAACAGTTTCCAGTCAACTCAGTCACAGTGAAACATAAACCCTTATCTGAGAGGGGTGATTTCTAAATACAGCTACAATCAGGCAATTCCAGTCCATCCATGTGACATGTCCCTAATCACACTTGACACTCAGTCAGTATCTATGGTAGGGAACAAACGCCTATATGTTTTGGGCGGTTTCATTTACGCATCAAAATTGGCCTGAGAATGATTTTATCAAATTTTCCAAACAATTTGGGACTGTCCGATTCTGTATCTGAAAACTCAGTGACTGAACCAATTAACTGATCATTTGATTGCAGCATGCCGTAGTGAATGTGCCGCGAATCGTAGAGCGTTTAACGAAGGTTCAACTACAAATAGCAAATGTAATATATTTAACATGGTCAGTCATTAATTATGGATGATCCATATAAAAAGAATAGATAAGTTAATTATATATTTACTCTACTTAATTTGCATTTGCAACCTACATGCAGCGTAACTTTTCAGATGTTCAATGCATCGATTGCTATGATTGTGTCTAGGATGTCTTCTACAATTTGAAAGGTTACTGCATAAGCTCTGGTCACAGAAGTCCCATATTTGAGTGGGTTCTCGATTTCAAACACCAACCACTTTCTTTAAACAAAGTAATACACGTCGCCATAGAGAGCGTGCAGTACGGGTGTTGTACACCAACATTACGTGGGCACACAGGAGAAATCCTTGCAAATTGCTATGTTTATTTTTACACCACAATTCTGACCTTACACCCTTCATTCTGACGCGATGGGACGGAGAGCGCAAAGTTCAGGCTCTTGGTATTCCCTCAAACTTAAAAAACAAGCCTCTTTTATCCATCACCATCTGAAAAAGCCCTAAAAGTTCTCTTTATATTTGTTAGCCCTCGCAGTTTGTGGCTGTCAGGTAAGCTGTTTAATCATAGGTGTTTAATGTGGTTTGAAACTTCTGAATGCCAACTGTCCTTTGCAGACGGGTAAGGATATTATATAAGTTTGTTTTAATTCATTTATAAATTTACAACTTTCTTAGTCACGATATGGCTGACATACTGCCGGTGTGACTTTAAATTTTAACTCACTCACTCACTCTGAATGTCAAATCAAGAACGCCAGTTTTCCAAAACCCCTTATTTGATTGAACATTGTTCACGTTACATATATGGCAGCGTTCATAAAATCTCTGGAATGCGACACATAACCCATAACTACTGGGTCATAATTAAACAAGTATGAAATCTTGCATTGTTAACATAAAGAGTCTGACGTTTGAGAACACGACATCTGATGTTATTATATTGTTGACAGTGTCGGACAGACAACACTAGACATTGGTGACATGGAACACTACCATCGGTGTCGCGCTGCCAACAACAACCAGCATGTGGCATGAGGTAGCACGTTGCCCTGTCACTAGGATTAGCGCCAATGGTCGAGTCTATCATTTGAAGAAAAGCTATCAGTCTACCTTGGAAACGCCAACAATGGGATTAAATCAACCTACCACCACGTCCTCACCTCGGGACACTTTCACCCTGTAACATGTTTATTGAGTATTGAGTGAGAGAGTTTAGTTTTACACCGCACTCAGCAATATTCCAGCTATATGGCGGCGGTCTGTAAATAATCCAGTCTCTACCAGACAACCCAGTGATCAACAGCATGAGCATCGATCTCCGCAATTGGGATACGATGACATGTGTCAGCCAGGTCAGCGAGCCTGACCACCCGATCCCGTTAGTCGCCTCTTACGACAAGTATGGGCTGCTGAAGACCAATTCTAACCCGCATCTTCACGAGTCATACTCTTTGAAGTAGGGCGTAAAAGACTCACGAATATTGATGCTATTATCGGCGCCTTAAGTATCCAGTAGTAGCCTCCTTCGTGGGTGTTCCAGCATCTGTTTAAAGCAAAGGAAAAACAAATCTCATTTGTTATTAAATATAAAATAATTTCTTATTTACCTGCCACATCTTATTATCAAAGCTCTCGACGGAAGGAATATATAACGAACTCGCAAATAACCTCGATGTTAATGAAAACAGACGGCGATATCCACAAATGTGATATGTTAAGCTTAGGCCCTGATCATATATAATAGTTAAACGCGAATCAGCTCGCTTGGCAAAGGTACCAATGTGCAGAACCAACCCATACAACAACCAAGACCGGAGTAGGTAAACGATCAGTTTATTGTACAGCACCAGAAATTATTAGCATATCATCAGTTAACAAAAGAAATGTTTACAATCAATAATTTGATCATGTTTACTGGCAATTACAGAAGCACATATATGCGAAGAACATTAGATGACTGTGATTCGTTACCCAAGATACCCACTACACCATTCACGATACACTTTATACAGGTACACAAGGTGATACAACACTCACTTGCTAATACATCCACGCTGGATTCAAACAATGTACATTCTATAATTGTCACAATGTATATTCAAAGGCAAACAGCAGAATAAAGTTAAGCAGAATTGAAGTAATCTATTATGACCAGTAGTAGATGGGAATAGCTGAGAAATACACCAAAATGTAATATGTTCCAAATAATCCTGAAGATAGTGAGTAAGAGGGAAAGTAGTCTGTCGTACAGACCCTGAAGCAAATATAGCCACGAAAGGACACGCAAGTCTAGAAAATGTGGCAAGTCTAGATTTACTCAGCTTCAGGAATGAAGAAAGTCTCAGGGCTCCTTTTCATTATATTATATGTTTTTTTACTATGAACTTTTTTCAGTAAAATATGTTCATTTCAGAGACAAGTTGTTAGCCTAGGAGTATAGTTTTACGCCGCTTTAGCTATCATCCAGCAATGTTGCGGAGACATCAGAAAGGGGCTTTACACCCGGTTCTTCAGCGTGATGAGCGAACGTTTTAACGACCAGGCTACCCCATCGCCCCTCCTGAAGGTAGTACCAATGGTTGGTAGCTTATAGTTAACATATAATAATATATAATAAAGCTTTGACAAAGTAGATTATTAAGTTACGTGCCTGAGTAAATGAACGATAGGTTTCATAGACAGCCACAGAATCTTTTGTGACTGCCTGTCGTCCGTATTTTATACTTATTGTAGCTATCACAGATAATTACATATATTACTTAAACTGACGATAAAGTTGTTCATGCAAACCTTGGTGGCGCCATATCGACAACAATCACTATAAATATGTATAATAGCTAAGACCAGTTGCGAGCATGCCACAAAAGTATACGTGGCACGCACGTGGTTTGTTTATCAACGTAGAATATCTGGCCAGCACAATACGAGATACAAGTCCGAGTTATGACCGATGTGATTATCATCTGACAGGATTAAGATTGTGGAGCATGGTCGTTTAGTCTGCAATGCTTAAAATTATCAATTGCACATAACGTGAAAGATATTTGTAAAACTTTGTTCATTTTTCCGGATTCCATGTTAATAGTATCTCCCTGTTCCTTTAGAATTTCGTTCAGAAATTTGTATAAACAAACTGACATTATACATATTTACATTACTAGAAAAAACAATTGGCATGACGTACCTATGATGACTGACATAAGTACAGATTGCTCTCAGCCTGAATATACGAAGGCTGGGGTAGATGCAAATGCCAAGGTTAGTCTTCAGGGAGTCTTCATGGGGTAGTGGTGAAGCTGAGAAAGTTAGTAATGTGCTTCTTTCAAAAACTCAAGAAGCTTTCCATCTCTTTATGTGTCCACCAGATAGACCAACACTTGGGTGAAATTGTTGCACTTACGAACTATGCATGATCGAGGAGGTGTTTACATTTTGTTAATTGATCTATAAAAGACACATTGTATTAATTACTTCATATGGAGACACCTACGCAGGCATTTGCGCCTGCTGAAGCATTCTTGAAACGCTCGCTTGCAGTCGTCAATAACATTGTCTCGCTTGAGGTTTCTAATCCACCTGACCAGATAGTAACGTTTACCCACTTGCAAGCGTTGACGCAATGACAGCTTTTCATCTTGGTAGTACTGCTCACTTATCTTGGTTATCCATCTACCGAGCCACGTCCGTAGTCTGAGGGAGTGTATACTTGTTGACAGTAGCCTCGGAGTGTTCCTACGATTGTGACGTGGTCATAATATCGTTCAAGTGATCCTGCTGAAGGTCACTTACCTTTGGTATCTGTGCCTTACAAAGAAAGTTAAAAAGTTCATGGCCTGAGAAAGTGTAGGATTGCTGCTAGTCGTTAGTGTGTGAACTTTCTAACGATAACAGTGAGATGGAAGTTGGGAGTTTTCTATTGTGAGTCTAGGCTCAGCAAGACAAGTAGTTGTCGCGATCCGCTCGAAACATAGAATGGGCATGAAGGAAACCTAACCAGTTTCAAAAGTCTAAAGTGAAATGTAATGCAGCATTAGTTAACAGATATTGTCACACACGAGTATCGGAGGAACTTGCTGATGAATCTTGAAGTAGGTCGACTTGATCTTCAAAGCTGGCGTACTCATATGGTTATTGACAGATCTAGATGGACTTGTCCCTGATTTTGTCATGATTATTGGTTAAATGACGTGTTGATCTTGATCCAGATGTCTGGGCTTCGGCCACTTCGGTCATCCGCTATGCTGACATCAATAACTGCGAACTACCATGTGTACAGCGAGGTAGGCTGTGTTTTCAGTAGGAACCCACAGATAGCGACTGGATTTGTCATCCAGAGTCAACTTAGTCCTAAGTGCGGTCTTTAGCTTTGAAGTCATAACGTTGTTTTATTTACTCCTGGACAAATTTCAGATTTTCTCTTTTGTGAATTCTTTTGATATCCAACACCTGTGAAACATGTTCCACTGCATATTTGGTAATTGGTAAATACATGATTACAGAACTAAGAAAGTATAATCCCAAACATAACCTTTGTTCAATTGGTAAATCTTTGGTAATACTGCTGTGTCGACATCAACATGCCTTTCCTTGCCAAAAAGCAAATAAGCAAATGAAATGGAGAATTACGTACGGAAAATCCGACTAAAAGATTTTACTTCAAAGGAGGCAAAATCCTCGAAGATGTTAGACGTGAAAGAGGAAATGACAACACACAACAAAGTCAAGATAGAGAAATAAACAATAGACAAGGTGACATCGCAGACACACGGATGACACATCATGACTGTAGGGACGGCTGGCAAAAGGGACGTTCTCTAAGGTCAAACTCCCGCTCCCAGGTCCCTGGTCGGAAGACTATGAGATAGGGGTGTGGCCAGGGCCGCGATAGTTTACGGGTGCTTCAAACAAGTGTACCCCAGACTATTGATAACAATGAGGTACACTTTGTATTTTGGAATGTATCAGGTCTGATGACTAAGTGACAGGGTCGTGACTTTAAAGAATTCATATGTAAATGTGACATTATTGGATTGTCAGAATCTTGGTGAAAGGAGATTGATTTAACAACCATATTTCCAGATTTTATAGCTATTACATAAGACGGAGATAGAATATCCAACTTTGGTCGCCTTTCAGGTGGGTTGCTACTTCTTATAAGGAAAAAGTTTGAGATTTTTGTAAAATGGACAAAAATCCTTAAAAGTGGAATATTTGTCCTACTAGACAAAAGCATGTTCAATATAGATAAAGATGTGGTGTTCTCCTGTGTGTATATCCATCCAGAATCGTCAAACTGGTATAGTACGTTATCACCTGACTGTAGTAACGGTGTGTTATTGTTACAAGAGGAGTTATTAGATGTTCTCTCGTACTACGACGAAGTCTATATTATGTTAGGTGGAGATTTTAATGCACGGACGGGTACTGAGCCGGATTTTGTTGAAGATGATATTCTCGAATATTTAGATAATGATAACTCTTCAGTGTATAATTTCCTACTCGACCGCTTCAACATGGTGCGAACTTCATCTGACAAAGTGTTAAACAACAAATGTTTGATCAATTTATGTAGTGTCCTAAATATACATTTTCTGAATGGAAGATGTGACTACACGTTCATTGGTAATCAAGGTGCAAGCGTCGTAGATTATGTAATCTGTTCAGCTAGATTGTTTGAGGTATGCTGTAATTTAAACATAGTGTCACGCACTATAGGCAAAAGTGTTAATTACATGTCAGAGGCCTTGTGCACGGCAGCAAGTGATATGAAAAGAGTGTGTTCTCCTAATATGTTTAGCCAACAGTGGTTTGACCATGAATGCGAGCTACTAAAAAAAGAACGATGTAAATGTTTAAACAATTTTAGAAGAAAAAAGGATAATATATCTTTACAGGAATACAATATTAGTAGAAATAAATATAACAGTGTATGCAGAAAAAAGAAAGCGAACTTTTTCAAAGGGAAGCAGGAAAAACTCGAACATTGTAACCGCGATTCTAAGCAGTTTTGGGCCACTCTTAAAGGGCTGAATACTAATTGTTGTTCACAAAACAATGAACCAATCGAGGATTGGTTTTCCCATTTCAAGGAACTATTTTCAACCTCTACAGGGAACGAGGAGAGTTCCCTGCTACCTATGAATCGAATGAATTCGATAAGTCGTTTTGCCAGTTAACTTCAGAGATTCTTGATTCACCTATAACAAGAAATGAAATTTCAGAAAGTATTGCAAGTCTAAAATGCAACAAATCTGCCGGTGACGATAACTTGATTCCTGAATTCTTTAAATATTCATCCGAAATCATTTTCCCCTACCTTGAAATTCTTTTTAACGTTATGCTTGAAAAGTCTTTCTTTCCAGAACAATGGACTCTGGGGATTGTAATGCCCTTGCACAAACAGGGATCTACTAATGACACCAACAATTATAGGGGTATAACTCTTTTGAGTGTTTTCAGTAAGATTTTTACCAGTATTATACATAGACGTTTAGTATTTTGGGCCGATGCCTTTGGTAAGATAGATGAAGCACAAGTGAATTTCAGGCACGGGTACTCTACAACTGATAATGTATTCATATTGCAGACACTTGTGCAGATATATTTAGCCCGAAAGGGAGAAAAAATGTACGCCATATTTGTAGATTTTGCTAAAGCGTTCGACTCCGTTAACAGAAACATGCTGTGGTCCCTTTGTAAATCTCAAGGTATCAGTAATAAAATTGTTAAATTATTATACTGCATATATCACAACGTGAAGGCTTGTGTTCGAAATAATAACAACCTATCTGATTCCTTCTGCTGTAACATTGGGGTAAGACAAGGATGTATACTCAGTCCATTTCTGTTTTCGTTCTTCATCAACGAACTATCGCTACAAATATATGGAAACTGTAACGAGGGCATCCAATTATATCCAGAAATTATGAAACTTTTTCTACTCCTTTTTGCTGATGATATTGTTATGTTCGCGAGCACAGTACCTGGACTTCAAAAGCTAATAAATCAACTTGAGTACTACTGTAAAAAATGGAAATTGAATGTCAATATCGATAAGACAAAGGTCATAGTTTTCCAAAATGGAGGGAAATTATAAAAACGGGAAAAATGGTTTTATAAAGGTGAAAGATTGGAGGTTGTAAGAAGTTACAAATACTTGGGTGTACTTTTTACAAATCGACTAACTTGGTCATTGCACTGCAACAAAGCCGCACTACAGGCTAAAATGATTTTAATAGGCATTTTAAGAACCATAAGACCGCTTCCAAATATAAGCTTTGACACCTTTTTCAAAATCTTTGACACTAAGATTAGTCCTTTTCTACTCTATGCTGCAGAAGTATGACACATTAGAGAAGGTACATCTATATGCGTGCAAAAGAATTTTAGGAGTAAACTCCAACACCCCAAATGTTACAGTTTATGGGGAATTTGGGAGATACCCTATGTATATATTTAGTTACATAAAAGTAATAAAATATTGGATAAGATTGCTTAAAATGCCAAGCACCAGATTCCCTAAAAAATGTGATAACATGATGATGCTTTACGATGACAGAGGTAAAAATAACTGGACCTCTGGTGTCAGAAAGATACTTCAGTCTTGCGGCTATGATTACATCTGGAGCATTTTAATATGATTTAACACAAAGGCTAAAAGATATGTATTTTCAAAAGTGACACTTTTCACTATGTTTACACAATAAGTTAAACCATTACTCGTGTTTTAAATCATTCATTCTCACAGAAAAATATCTTCTAGACATTAATGTTAAGAAATTCAGAACAGCACTAGCCCGTTTCAGATGTAGTTCCCATGATCTTCTAATAGAAAAAGGTAGGCATTTAGGGATACCACGGGAAAAACGATTGTGTAAATATTGTACTTATCAGGAGTTAGAAGATGAATATCATTTCTTGCTTGTTTGTCCATTGTATGCAAATATCAGAAAAGAATACATAAAGAAATATTTCTACTTGAACCCCCGAATAGACAAATTCTATGCCCTCATGGCATCCCAAAATCAAACAGCCACAAAATACCTTGCAATGTATATATTCCATGCCATGAATATGAAATCCTCTGCATTACAGATGTGATATTATTTACTATATATTCATTTATATTGCACCCTCTGCTACTGTATGTTAAATGTACTATAGGCCTACGGCCTCTTCAGTACTGTAAATAAAGATTGATTGATTGATTGAAATGGAGAAATCATGTAAATTGTACAGGTGCTGTCATCATTATCCCTGGAATCAAACTAGGCCTGTTTGAGTGATCAGTGTCACAACATGTGCGAAGTGATTGTAGGATAGTACCGTTTGTCCGTTCACAGGCTGAATGTGTCATTGGATGGTAGCAACCAGTACGATTACCTGTAACCTGGAAGATTTCACATAAAACACAGACAATCTTAGATTAAGCTTGGTCACGTAAGCTTGGTCACGGTCAGAGACGATGGAACTTGGATCACCATAACGTGACCTTCTGACGTGCCACTTCTGAGGCTTCCTGGGAGTTGAGAGGGAATGCCTCAAACAAGCGACTAGAGGCATGTACAACAAGAAGAATGTGTTAAGCTATCAGGTATCTCCGTCAACAGTCAATATGATACCGTCCAGCTGTCTCAGCGATGAGCAGTGGATGAAGGGTGTTTTGTTGGGATATCTAATGTCTGATGTCTGACATGACTTGATGTAATCATGAACACTTTCATACACCCCGGGCCAGAATCCTCAGGTATGTTACTTCTGTTCTATGCTGCTTTACAACAAACGTTCCTTCTCCTGCCCGCAACAAACGTTGACGACAAACGTCCTCACTTCTAATCACAACAAACGTACCCTCCAATGTTTACCACAACCTCCACTGATCACAACAAACATATTATAGAACAGGATATTCTACAGCCTCGTACTACTGCTATTCACTCAATGATGGTTCCTGTTTTTAGACCAATGTTATCTTCTATGTCATAAACGAACGGGCCAAAGACATTAATACCCATTTTTCATGGTATCGAAAAGTGAGGGACTGGTTTTGGAAGATCGGTACTTCATACGGGTGTCAGAACTGCGTTTGGGACTTTCACTTTGCTTCTATTTCCGTTTTGATTACGTTTATAATGTTGGTAATGTTATGGCCACGTTCAATTTTAAAGTGAATACTTTTTTGCCCGGCAGTTTAGGTGAGTGGTTTCTCCAAATGTAAGCCACCTTGGACATACCGAGGTCAGGAAAGCATCTTTTGATATGTATTGGATATGTTCACTCTTGAAGTGTGAGGTGGAAATTGTTTACTTACAGAGTGTTGTCCAGGTAGACTCTGACGATGACCCACGGGATGACGAACAGCAATGGCGACACTGTAGACAGACATGAGTGAGTGAGTGAGTTTGGGTACATTACTAGTCACAGTCGTGGTCTTTACCACTGAGGTGAAATGCGATAATGCTGACAAATGAGAAATAATGAACAGGGCGAAGTCGAAACCCCGGTCTGCGGATCTTGCCAAGAATAAGGGAGACAACCCTGCACAATGAATTGTGGCACTCCTTGCCGCTGAGCAATCCGTGCCCCCAGAAAATACATGAAGTAAGGTACGTCAATTATCCATGTAATGATGTTTAATGATAATGTATTGCAAATAAATCAACATATGCTGGTAAATATCATTTTCGTTGCTTTGATATATTTTTATTTGAAAAAATCTCATTCATAAAGTCAATCGTCACAAAAGTGGGAAAATATTACCTACTAACATTTGGGTCGAATGAGATTATTCTGCCAACTGAATGTTAACAGTTAACATTCTGTAATGGCCATCCCAGTGTGCACGATGAGGGTAATTTTGCAGACACCATCACGGCATTGACAAACTGAATTGTCTGAATGTCAGAATCGTTTTGTAAACATATCCTGTTACAAAATAGTATTTACACTTTTTATTGGGAAGGATGTGCAACAATCGGTCTTATAGTCATAGCGTGGGTCCTCTCTGTTCCCTAAATAGTTACTTGTCACAATCCGTCTACATCATGAACGACTTTGAAAACACCATTTCCGACACCACATACATCACAGAGGAGGTTTATGTATCGGTGGCCAGATTTCTGAATTTACAGAATATTTACATCCGGTACATTTGTCTTCCATTATGAGAGACTGATACACCCAGCATTACAGTAATGTATTTTGCAGACCCTATAACTTACTCCCATTTGAACTTCAGGTTGGAAATTTATATCAATATATCGTCGTGTATTTTGATTCAATCTTGTTCCAGAAAGGGGTTGATGTGACCCCCCTGGGCAGTATACTCTCACACAAGATGAAACACACTGATGCAGGTTCATAAATATGATCAGAAAGAATTCGACTGAATTTATTTCGTCATTACACTGACAGTGGTCCATAGCCGTGTAAACATTACCGCTGACATCTAGGGGATATCATATCATCGATGCGTTGCTGACTGAATATGGTGTATGTACTGATGTGCTAAATATTATCGATGGATACCAGGCGTACAGTTGGCTAGACTGCAGCTAGCGACTTCTCTTTTTCAAACACCGGCTTACACAGCATGTACATTTGGGGATGACGTCCTGGTGAAAATACGAACTACAACATACAGTCAGACAGTGATAAGGGTGCACTTACGCCAGCCGAGAAGTATGTACCACTTGAAGACGCGCTTGTGTGAGAACACAGCTAGAATGATGAGTGTGTGAAGATAGAGACCCTCTACGAAGATCCACATGTAGTTGGCCCCCAGAGCATAGTGAAGGAGGGTGAACAGAAGCTTGCATTCCCAGTGCTTAAAACACAACAGAAAATGAAAGATTATAGTTGCAGTGCTTAAACGCATATTTGAGAACAAGCGTTTTTTCGCCCATTGTTTACAAGATAATAATTATGCTGCTTATAAGCAGAGAAACACGTTTTATACAAGGCTCTATCATCTGATCACCTATTCTCAACGACTGACGGACTGACTGAGTTTGGTTTTACGCCGCTTTTAGCAATATTCGGCGGGGAACACCAGAAATGGGCTTCACACATTGTACCCATGTCGGTATTCGAACCCAGGTCTTCGGCGTGACGAGCCAACGCTTTAACCACTAGGCTACCCCACCGCCCCTGTTATTCTCAACGAAAACAAATGATTCAGTGTCAAATTTATTGCAGCTCATCCTAGTTTTTACTGCATGTAATGTATATTTCTAATTTACAAAATCTGTTTCTGCATGAATTTCACAGCGTCAATAAAAGTACAGCGTTTGTTAATATGTTTCTCTCCAACAATAAATTGTAATGTGACAAAAATGTGCCAACATTTACAGGAGTTTTTCTCTTAATGCTGTAAGACGACTCAAATACATTTCGTTTGATATGTACATGTAGTAATTATTTCTCTATCTTTTTGACAAATGACTTTATGTTTTATTTCAATAAGTATTGGTGTTAAAGTTGAGTGAGCGTTATAACGGCTTCTATTGTGTAACCAAAATATCGCATGAGGAACAGAAACATAAAAAGTTTGAAACCATCTAAGCATTTATTGTACTTCATAACCCAAGGGAGGTGACTATAGCTAACAACAATTCATTTCTCTGTCGTCATTACTTGACTTCAACATCGATCTGTGACTTCCATTGTACATAACAGAGGCGATTCAAACATCTCCTCCAAGCAATCTCGTCAGGAAATCAGATTAAGACATTTTACACGGGTTAATGGTCACATGACATCTAACACCAAATCATATCTATTTCAAATAATGTATACCGACATGTCATAACTAATCCCTGTATTCCAAAGTTGTGTATTTCAGTATTCGCTGCTCTATCGACTGTCCAGCCAGTGATATGATGTAATGAATAGCTATCTTTGGTTTTCTCGGTTTTCATTAAAGTTTACGCCAGTTTCGTCTGCAAGCCGATTCGAATGTACCTCTACTGACCTGATATACAGTGCTCGGCGAATCAATTCCCTACCGTCACAAAGCTGCCACGGTGATATTCTCGTACAGGTCTACTCGTGTTAAAAAGTTGTTTTGGGAACTTACTATATTTGTTCTAAGCGTCTCTAATACTGAATAGAGGTATGGCATGATATTGAAATACAGTCCAACGCGTGAATAGTGTATGAATTATGTTGATTCTCATGCATTTGGCAGTGATGTTTCATTTCATATGTCATCGTGTTCAGCTTTGTCAATGAGGATCGAGTCATCTGTCATCAACCATTGAAGTTGTAACCTTCAGTGATTGCAAACAATTTAACACATGTTTAACATGCACTTTCCTTGTCGTCATTTCAAACAGTTGCCAGCCGAGAAATAACATAGTAAATTATGATAATCGTTGAGTCTACTGTACCCTTTAGTATTTATGACATGGTCCGCGTTTCGTGGGTTTAACCTAGATATAAACCGAAAATCGACTGTACGATTAGGACAAAGTCTTAAGCATGTGTTTATGAATCGGTATTAACCTGTGATGGTAGCAGTCGAAAAGACGAAGGTGTCCTACCCAGCCAGTGACACCCGTCATAAATGCATGCAATAGCGAGTCAATTGTTCACCGGACAAAACGCGTGATAATAAGGAATAGCATCGGGCATCATTTTTGGGATGTGTAAAATGTGAATATGTCCTCCACACGTCTGACATAAAACTTTCTACAAGGAACCATAAAGTCGTGAATGTTGTAACCTTGATCAGGCTCGCTGACTTGGTTGACACATGTCATCGGTTCCCATTGGCGCAGATCGATGCTCATGCTGTTGATCACTGGATTGTCTGGTCCAGACTCGATTATCTACAGACCGCCGCCATATAGCTGGAATATTGCTGAGAGCGGCGTAAAACTATATTCACTCTCTCACTTGGACAAATTTAGGCAAAATGTGTGTGGTAAACTAGTGAAATATGCATATTACTTTATTTAACGGATTTCTATCTAATTTCATCTCGATAACAATTTATTATTACTTCAAACAGACCTCGAACTAATTAATTGTAATATCAAACAATTCTGTATATTTTCTAGTATTAGTATTTATTAGTATGTCTCGACTAATACACAGGAATCATTTCACTGAAATATAATGTTGACTTTCAACATTCTCTGTTATAGCTCCTATTCAAGTGACTTAAGTAAAGAAAACAAACATCACACATAGCCAGTGTACCTCTATAAACACAACTGACTATTGCTATGTAAACTATATTTTGAATCATGTAATATTCAGTGTGGGTTATATATTATAACATTCAAAGGGAAATAGCTCTGTCAAGACAAATATAGTGATAGTTCAGGTTTAATACCTAGTCAACTCCAAGAAATACTCAAACGTGGTAATGTTTAAGATACTGTATGATTTTATCATTTTGTGGAGTATTCTTTGCCTGAAATATGAACAATGATGATAGTAGTGTAAACGTTCACATGTGTAATGTTGAAAGGATTATCACAGTGTGCCAGAGACAGTTGTTTTCTGCCATCTCTTCCACCATGAGCATGTACAGATACTAATGATGTCAGGTATGGGAATACTTACGGTCTCCTGTACTGAGGGCGACGACCCCGCCTGCCGCGACTCCACATCCGTCCCCGTCCCTTGCACCGTCTCCATCAACAGGCACAGCATGGAGCGCAGGGCAAACGAGACGAATAGGTTGACGTGGAGGATGTTCCGCTGACAGTGTAGTCTCCTGTGGGTCCCATATTAAACACAGTCACAGTCACAGCCAGAATCAGTGGTGTGCGTCGCTGGAACACCTATACTTACACATACATTGTTTCATTTAACAGGGGTACGGGTTACCCTTTCCATTCGTCTAAGGACCCAGAATTCGGACTGTAGAGATGCGACTTCTATTCGCTAACCGTTGGTTCCAGTCGAAAACTAATTATTAATTATCCTTCGATTGTCAGCACCCCGCCATATGATTGAAATAGTGACCCAAGCAGTGCACAAATCAAAGTAGTAGACATTTTCATCTTGGAATAAAATGAATGTACGGGCAGGAATAATAATAGGAATGACAGATACCGAAATATAACCTTGTATTGGATCGCGTGATAAGCGGATCCTGCAACTGTTTGTGGACATTACTCTGAGCATGAGACCCCGGGATCACACATTTCCCCAACCATCCCACAACTACTGATTAAGGTGCTGGCGAATAAGTCCCTGTTGTTTAAATTTGAGAAACGTTTGAGTCGCGGGTTCAGAATGGTTACTGTATATCAAAATCGAAAGGTTATTAAACGAACGAAAGAAATGCATTTCCAAAGATGATATTTACGTGGTGTGGGTGAAATTATGGTGGTTTAACTACATGAAGGATGTTGGGCTGGATAAATCATCTGGAGGTAGTAGATAAGAGGGATTGAAGAACACAGATAAGATGTAACCTTCGTTTCTTTTGACATTCGGTGTTAATGGGACCTACAACTACTCCCTATTTGCGAGAGAGTTTGATATATAGGGTCTGATTTAATATGTCATGCTGGAAATATACCACTGTGTATAACTCATACACTCACATGAATAATTGTAATATAGCAAAAGTCAAACCATCAACCATCGCGACTGACAGAATAGGACGTTTTAGATAACAACTTGAGAATTCCTGATATTTATTAAATTGATGTACTTCATACACGTGATGCAGTAATGTTGTGCTGCTACACTGATTTATTGTACTTACACTTGTTATAATAAATGTCTACAGACAAATTAGAAGGTAATTATTTTCTCATTCTGTTATATGCGGCTAACCAATTCTGACTCTAGGAGAACAATGTACGTCAGCCTTAATTGAGGCACGCACTGTTGAATGATGTATTGCCAGGACTAGACATCATAGACTGAGGTCTACGGAGGACTGTGCTCTCTAATTGGAGATTCGTGGTGTTTAGATGAGGAGCGGGGAAAACATTACTTTCACTTTAGAAATGCATATGGCTATTTACTGTAAATTGATTTCCATTTCCTCTTTTCAAACGAGGAGTTCGACTAAAATGCGGATCAGACGACGATGATGATGATGGTATGATTATTAACTGAATGTGTGATGCATGCAAATATCAACCCTGAGCTGGCACCTGACATAAGTTTAAAGATGTCATATTAAACAAAATGCACGACATTGGGATATATATTTGATACTTAATGACTACAAGTGAAATGTGAACCAACTAAGTAACCTGACAGGGAGGCAGGATATATCGTGTTCCAGTGACGTGAGTGTCATGTCTACTTCAGTTGCCAGGAGATCTTTTTCAACTGAATAGAAGTGAAATGTTGTGTTTATTTAAACAGAAGTATCTCAGACTATACACGTTATTTAGTCCATGGCGGTATGAAAACTACTGGAATAGTAAGAACCTTTATTAGTAAGACATAATACCAACTAATCAGTTGTGTTGTGTCATTGGTGCTATGTTACCCCAGCTCACACTAACAAAATGCCACATTGCTGTTTTGGTTCAGACACTGTGAAATAGTCACATGCTTTCTTTGGAAAATGACTCCAGAATTTTGGAGAAGCGGTGTTAAAAACTCATTTGGATATTTCATACAGCTACTCTTTACCTGAAGATGAGCATCAACACGATGGCGAGGAGGAGTATGGCCAGGGATATGCTGTAGCCGAGCCTGGAGATCAGCATCACTATCTCTATGTGCTCCTGCAACAGTATCATCGATACTTAGTCCCAAGGGTGTGAATTCGTAAACTTCAGGACAAGGATGGTTGTGAGCGTCCGTATATAACAGAAGGCACATATCACCAATAGGGCCCGGGCCATAGGTATTCATTTCTCAGGAATTTGTAAAACCAGTTGACTAACTCGGAAAAAAATAATTGTTTGGTTTAACAGGGTTACGGTGACCACATACAGAAAACACTATATATACTCTCCCAAAAAGGAAACGCATCATGAAAATAGCAATTTCATGTAGCAATGAATTAAAACGTGATTCATTTTACAAAAGGTTTTGCTCTGTTTATGAGTCCTATGGTGTTTATGTTTTGAAACATCACAACAAAACGCACCATCCGTAAAATACCCGTATTTAACAGCATGATTTTCAATTTCGGGGTGTAGTGTCACAGAATACACAATTCACATGCAATGCACGTGAAAGTTGGGGATCAGATAGTCTCAATGATGGGTATAAAAGGTTGATCGCTGTCTGTCGATTATTCACTGTATTTGGAATATTGTTGACGAACGCAAAATGCCACGTCTAAGTGAAGCCAACCGTCATATCGCCATTGGTTTGCTTGAAGCTGGCCAGTCTCAACGTGCAGTTGCCCGACGCATGAATGTTCACCAAAACACCATTTCAAGGCTCTGGGAGAGATATCGCCGGCAGATTTGGTAGCAGATGCCCCTCGTAGTGGGCGACCTCGAGCGACCACTGCGGCGCAGGATCGCTACATCCGGGTACATCACCTGCGTCATCGAACAGCTACGGCGACCAGTACCGCTCGACAAATACCCGGATTGAGGAGGCTTTCTGTACAGACCGTCAGGAACAGGTTGAGAGAGGCTGGTTTACGTGCCAGAAGACCTTATTTTGGCCCTGTGCTTCGACAAGAACATCGTCGACATCGAGTTCAAGGGTGCACCAACGTTCAGGCCTGGAACCTACCGAATTGGCGTAGAATCTGGTTCAGTGATGAATCACGATTTCTATTGGAACGACGCCATGGAAGAATGCGGGTGTACAGACGTCGAAGTGAACGTTTCGCCGACGCTTGCGTTCCCCAGGTGGACAGATTCGGCCGAGGAAGTGTTATGATGTGGGGAGCCGTAGGAGAAGTGATTTGGTGATGATCCAGGGCAACCTGACAGCTCAACGGTACTGTGACGAAATCCTACGCCCACACCTCCTTCCAATCATTGATCGCCAGAGAGAGTTGTTTCAACAGGACAATGCCAGGCCCCACACAGCACATCACACTAGAGACTTCCTCCAGAACCACAACATCAATGTGCTCCCCTGGCCCTCAAGATCACCGGACTTAAACCCGATCGAACATCTGTTGGATGCCCTGGATAGGTGGGTGCGACGCCGTAACCCTCAGCCCCGAACACTTCAGCACCTCGCACAGGCACTACAGGCAGAGTGGGCTGCGATTGGGCAACACGAGATTCTGAGACTTATTCGTTCGATGCCGAGGCGATGCCGTGCAGGTCTGGATGCCCACGGTGGTCACACGAGGTATTGACTTCAGCGCCACCACACGTCTCCATGTGACACTCAAACTGACTTTCCTCGAGTTAGTGCCAAAGACGGATAAGTCTGCATTCCCAGTGTGCAATTTCGCTATATTTCATTGACTCATAAAGCCTACAAGATGTTTCAAAATAAACATAAAAATACAGTTGAAATTCCTCTATGCGTTTCTTTTTTGGGAGAGTATATAAACGTTTGATGGACGAGAACCGATGGCCCTTTCATATAGATATCTCGACAGAACAAGACACTCGATAGGATGGATAGAATCAGTGCATAAATAATACGAACAAATACGTCATCAATATCATTATCATCGTTATCATTCACTCTTTGGAAAAAAGTATTTCATTATATATTACTTACGGCTCCTCCAACGTGTTCATATCTCGCAGACTGCTGTGCGATGTAATGACACTGTGTTTATGATAAATTTTGGTTCATTGACTTTAACGCACTTAGTTTAATACATGTACATTTTAAACTGACGTAATATCTTTCTACACTTTAGTGGTAGATTTAACTCCGGCTACACATTGTATATAACATTGTTGTGAAATATACTATAATTTTCAGAAAATTGTACAATCCTTAACGGCTTAGAAAATACTATGTTCACTGTTCCATTACAAAGTGTTACCTTGAACGATAATGAAGTAATGAGATAATGGGAGAACGATATATACTCTTCAAAAAAAGTAGGGGAACTTAATTTTGTATTTACGATTGAGAAAAATGGGAGATATATCGGTGTCAATCAACGTTGATATGATAATAATATATGATAATAATATGTGATACTAATGAATGTTTTGAGAGTGCATCACCACTTGCACTTCCTTATGACCATAGTTGTTTGTACAGTAATCGCTCTTGAAAGATGATTGGGGTATGACGTGAAATTTGCATGTGTATGATTTTCATTTTGTGTTTAGGGGTGGTGATAAAGAGAAATGGTGGTGCGTTCATTAGATGTCGATCTTTGAAAAGTTTGTTAACGCTTATACTTCCTATCCAAATTGAAAGTTCGGGTTCCCCTACTTTTGTTTAAGAGTATACATGTACATCCTTGTTCAGAGCTCTATACCATATTCCCCGACAGCTTATTTTTGAAGTCGCAATGACGTAAAGTGCCTTCTACCATGTATTGTAAAGATCAACGGAACTTGGTGCACGTGTATCAAACGACACATTTTATGTGCATCAACCTCATGCGACTCGCACAATATAGGTACAGATTTCTGCTATATTCTGCAAACATATTCCACAAAGGAATAACAGTCTTAAAGGAGGGATGGTTGGATTTATCGTAGAGAATACGTGCAAGCAACCAACAACGGGTGTCTCGAGGACATGTATTAGAGAAACTAAAAGATCGTTTTCATAATGATGTTGTCCAAATGATGACATATAAGTGTGTACTCGAAGCTAATGAGACGCCCAGATGCACACCTAAACCAGTGAAAAAAGAAACTTCAGATTACTATAGCACTTTCACACCCATAATGGAGTGTTGCATATTGTATGTATGTGGTGTGTGGGGGTTGTATCATTGTGCATAAATAGGGAAACAGTCCCTCGGCGCCTGTTTGAGAAATCGATTTCCTATGGCGTCAGTACTGGCGGAGGAGGCAGTGTCTGGTTCATCTTCTAATTTCCTCTTCCTGTGTTTATTATTTTTTATATTATCATTATTCTTTTTTATCGTCATTAGTTTTGTTATTTTTTTATTACATTGAAGAAACGTATAAGTCAGCATGTTTTCTTCGCAAAAATATGTACACGTTTAATAGTAAATAGGTGTCATTGATACAATGTAAATTGTCGATACAATACCGCTTGATATCCTACCTCGGTTCAGTCCTACACGTGAAACTGCGAGCAGATTATGGTTAGATACATAGATGCACGTTCATGTACATCAGTCGAACTACCTTGATGAGGGGATCCACTTGTTTGGGCGGCCGTGGCACGCAGGCGGTGTAGTTGCTCCACGTATTGTTCTCCTGCGGGTTGAACCACCAGGTCCCGTCCTCCATACAACGCCGAGTGACGTAGGCTGACAACACAACATGTTCATTACACAACAATATGTGGATCTCTTTCACAATGGAGTCAGAGGACACAGCACGTTTATTACACAAAACTATGTGGATCTCTTTCACAATGCAGTCAGACAACACAGCACCTTCAATACACAACAATATGTGGATCTCTTTCACAATGGAGTCAGAGGACACAGCACGTACATTACACAACAATATGTGCATCTCTTTCACACTGGAGTCAGACAACACAGCACGTTTGTTACACAACGCTATGTGGATCTCTTTCACAATGCATTCAGACAACACAGCACGTTCAATACACAACAATATGTGGACATCTTTCACAATGCAGTCAGACAACACAGAACGTTCATTACACAACAATATTTGGATTTCTTTCACAATAAGGTCAGACAACATAACATGTTACTAACACAACAATATGTGGATCTCTTTCACAATGGAGTCAGACAACACAGCACGTTCATTACACAACAATGTGTGCATGTCTTTCACAATGCAGTCAGACAACACAGCACGTTCATTACACAACAGCATGTGGATCTCTTTCACAATGCAGTCAGAAAACACAGCCAATTCATCACACAACAACAAGTGGATATCTTTCACAATACAGTCACAAAATGTGAATCACTTTCACAATTGATTCAGACAACACAGCATATTCATTACACAACAATATGTGGATCTATTTCACAATAAGGTCAGACAACACAGCAGCTTCCTTACACAACAATATGTGGATCTCTTTCACAATGCAGTCAGAAAACACAGCATGTCCATTACACAACAACATGTGGATCTCTTTCACAATGCAGTCAGACCACACATCACGTTTATTACACAACAATATGTGGATCTCTTTCACAATGCAGTCAGACTACACAGCACGTTCATTACACAAGAATATGTAAATCTCTTTCACATTGCAGTCAGACAACACAGCATGTCCATTACACAACAATATGTGGATCTCTTTCACAATGCAGTCAGACAACACAGCACCTTAATTACACAACAACATGTGGATCTCTTTCACAATGCAGTAAGAGAACACAGCAAGTTCATTACACAACAATATGTGGATCTCTTCCACAATGCAGGCATACAACACAGCACCTTCACTACACAACAATATGTGGATCACTTTCACAATGGAGTCAGACAACACAACACGTTCATAACACAACAATATGTGGATCTCTTTCACAATGCAGTCAGACAACACAACACGTTCTTTGCACAACAATATGTGGATATCTTTCACAATGCAGTCACAATATGTGGATCTCTTCCACAATGCAGGCAGACAACACAGCACCTTCATTACAGAACAATATGTGGATGTCTTTCACAATGCAGTCAGACAAGACAAGACTTTCTTTACACAACAATATGTGGATCTCTTTCACAATGGAGTCAGACAACACATCATGTTCATTACACAATAATATGTGCATCTCTTTCACAATGCAGTCAGACAACACAGCACCTTCATTACACCACAATATGTGGATCTCTTTCACAATGCAGTCAGACAAGACAACACTTTCATGACAAAACAACATGTGGATCTCTTTCACAATGGAGTCAGACAACACATCATGTTCATTACACAACAATATGTGTATCTCTTTCACAATGCAGTCAGAAAACACAGCACCTTCATTACACAACAACATGTGGATATCTTTCACAATACAGTCAACAAAATGTGGATCACTTTTACACAATGATTCAGACAACACAGCATATTCATTACACAACTATACATGGATCTATTTCACTCAGGTCAGACAACACAGCAGCTTCATTACACAACAATATGTGGATCTCTTTCACAATGCAGTCAGACAACACAGCACGTCCATTACACAACAACATGTGGATGTCTTTCACAATGCAGTCAGACCACACATCACGTTTATTACACAACAACATGTGGATCTCTTTCACAATGCAGTCAGACTACACAGCACGTTCATTACACAAGACTATGTAAATCTCTTTCACATTGCAGTCAGACAACACAGCATGTCCATTACACAACAATATGTGGATCTCTTTCACAATGCAGTCAGACAACGCAACACGTTCATTACATTAAAATATGTGGATCTCTTTCACAATGCAGTCAGACAACACAACACGTTCTTTGCACAACAATATGTGGATATCTTTCACAATGCAGTCACAATATGTGGATCTCTTCCACAATGCAGACAACACAGCACCTTCATTACAGAACAATATGTGGATGTCTTTCACAATGCAGTCAGACAAGAAAAGACTTTCTTTACACAACAACATGTGGATCTCTTTCACAATGGAGTCAGACAACACATCATGTTCATTACACAATAATATGTGCATCTCTTTCACAATGCAGTCAGACAACACAGCACCTTCATTACAGAACAATATGTGGATGTCTTTCACAATGCAGTCAGACAAGAAAAGACTTTCTTTACACAACAACATGTGGATCTCTTTCACAATGGAGTCAGACAACACAACACGTTCATAACACAACAATATCTGGATCTCTTTCACAATGCAGTCAGACAACACAACACGTTCTTTGCACAACAATATGTGGATGTCTTTCACAATGCAGTCACAATATGTGGATCTCTTCCACAATGCAGGCAGACAACACAGCACCTTCATTACAGAACAATATGTGGATGTCTTTCACAATGCAGACAGACATCACAGCGCCTTCATTACACCACAATATGTGGATCTCTTTCACAATGCAGTCAGACAAGACAACACTTTCATTACAAAACAACATGTGGATCTCTTTCACAATGGAGTCAGACAACACATCATGTTCATTACACAGCAATATGTGGATCTCTTTCTTTACATGTGGATCTCTTTCACAAATGCAGTCACAACAATATGTATGGGGATGTCTTCCACAATGCAGTCAGACAACACAGCACCTTCATTACACAACAATATGTGTATCTCTTTCACAATGCAGGCACAATATGTGGATCTCTTTCACAATCCTGTCAGACAACACAACACATTCATTACACAACAACATGTGGATCTTTTTCACAATGGAGTCAGACAACACAACATGTTCATTAAACAACAATATGTCTATCTCTTTCACAATGCAGTCAGACAACACAGCACCTGCATTACACAACAATATATGGATCTCTTTCACAATGCAGTCGCAATATGTGGATCTCTTTCACAATGCAGTCACAATATGTGGATATCTTCCATAATGCAGTCAGACAAAAGAGCACGTTCATTGCACAACAATATATGGATCTCTTCCTTAATGCAGTCAGACAACACAGCGTGTTCATTACGCAACAATATGTGCATCACTTTCACAATGGAGTCAGACAACACAGCACGTTCATTACACAACAATATGTGGATCTCTTTCACAATGCATTCACAATATGTGGATCGCTTCCATAATGCAGTCAAACAACACAACACGTTCATTGCACAACAATATGTGGATCACTTTCACAATGCAGTCAGACAACACAACACGTTCATTACTCAAGAATATGTGGATCTATTTCACAATGCAGTCAGACAACACAGCACCTTCACTACACAAAAATATGTGGATCACTTTCACAATGGAGTCAGACAACACAACACGTTCATTACACAACAATATGTTGATCTCTTTCACAATACAGTCAGACAACACAACACGTTCATTACACAATAATATGTGGATCTCTTTCACAATGCAGTCAGACAACACAGCACCTTAATTACACAACAACATGTGGATCTCTTTCACAATGGAGTCAGACAACACAACACGTTCATTACACAACAATATGTGGATCTCTTTCACAATGCAGTCAGACAACACAACACGTTCATTACACAACAATATGTGGATGTCTTTCACAATGCAGTCACAATATGTGGATCTGGATCTCTCTTTCAACACAACAATGCAGTCACAACAATATGTGGATCTCTTCCACAATGCAGGCAGACAACACAGCACCTTCATTACAGAACAATATGTGGATGTCTTTCACAATGCAGACAGACATCACAGCGCCTTCATTACACCACAATATGTGGATCTCTTTCACAATGCAGTCAGACAAGACAACACTTTCATTACAAAACAACATGTGGATCTCTTTCACAATGGAGTCAGACAACACATCATGTTCATTACACAACAATATGTGTATCTCTTTCACAATGCAGTCAGAAAACACAGCACCTTCATTACACAACAACATGTGGATATCTTTCACAATACAGTCACAAAATGTGGATCACTTTTACAGTTGATTCAGACAACACAGCATATTCATTACACAACAATACATGGATCTATTTCACAATAAGGTCAGACAACACAGCAGCTTCATTACACAACAATATGTGGATCTCTTTCACAATGCAGTCAGACAACACAGCATGTCCATTACACAACAACATGTGGATCTCTTTCACAATGCAGTCAGACCACACATCACGTTTATTACACAACAACATGTGGATCTCTTTCACAATGCAGTCAGACTACACAGCACGTTCATTACACAAGACTATGTAAATCTCTTTCACATTGCAGTCAGACAACACAGCATGTCCATTACACAACAATATGTGGATCTCTTTCACAATGCAGTCAGACAACGCAACACGTTCATTACATTAAAATATGTGGATCTCTTTCACAATGCAGTCAGACAACACAACACGTTCTTTGCACAACAATATGTGGATATCTTTCACAATGGAGTCACAATATGTGGATCTCTTCCACAATGCAGGCAGACAACACAGCACCTTCATTACAGAACAATATGTGGATGTCTTTCACAATGCAGTCAGACAAGACAAGACTTTCTTTACACAACAACATGTGGATCTCTTTCACAATGGAGTCAGACAACACATCATGTTCATTACACAATAATATGTGGATCTCTTTCACAATGCAGTCAGACAACACAGCACCTTCATTACACCACAATATGTGGATCTCTTTCACAATGCAGTCAGACAAGACAACACTTTCATTACAAAACAACATGTGGATCTCTTTCACAATGGAGTCAGACAACACATCATGTTCATTACACAACAATATGTGTATCTCTTTCACAATGCAGTCAGAAAACACAGCACCTTCATTACACAACAACATGTGGATATCTTTCAAAATACAGTCACAAAATGTGGATCACTTTTACAGTTGATTCAGACAACACAGCATATTCATTACACAACAATACATGGATCTATTTCACAATAAGGTCAGAAAACACAGCAGCTTCATTACACAACAATATGTGGATCTCTTTCACAATGCAGTCAGACAACACAGCATGTCCATTACACAACAACATGTGGATCTCTTTCACAATGCAGTCAGACCACACATCACGTTTATTACACAACAACATGTTGATCTCTTTCACAATGCAGTCAGACTACACAGCACGTTCATTACACAAGACTATGTAAATCTCTTTCACATTGCAGTCAGACAACACAGCATGTCCATTACACAACAATATGTGGATCTCTTTCACAATGCAGTCAGACAACGCAACATGTTCATTACATTAAAATATGTGGATCTCTTTCACAATGCAGTCAGACAACACAGCACCTTAATTACACAACAATATGTGGATCTCTTTCACAATGCAGTAAGAGAACACAACATGTTCATTACACAACAATATCTGGATCTCTTTCACAATGCAGTCAGACAACACAGCAAGTTCATTACACAACAATATGTGGATCTCTTTCACAATGCATTCAGAAAACACAGCACGTTCATTACACAAAAATATGTGGATTTCTTTCACAATGAAGTCAGACAACACAGCACCTTCATTACACAGCAATATGTGGATCTCCTTTACAATGCAGTCACAATATGGGGATGTCTTCCACAATGCAGTCAGACAACACAGCACCTTCATTACACAACAATATGTGCATCTCTTTCACAATGCAGGCACAATATGTGGATCTCTTTCACAATGCTGTCAGACAACACAACACATTCATTACACAACAACATGTGGATCTTTTTCACAATGGAGTCAGACAACACAGCACCTGCATTACACAACAATATATGGATCTCTTTCACAATGCAGTCGCAATATGTGGATCTCTTTCACAATGCAGCCACAATATGTGGATATCTTCCATAATGCAGTCAGACAAAAGAGCACGTTCATTGCACAACAATATATGGATCTCTTCCTTAATGCAGTCAGACAACACAGCGTGTTCATTACACAACAATATGTGGATCACTTTCACAATGGAGTCAGACAACACAGCATGTTCATTACACAACAATATGTGGATCTCTTCCACAATGCAGGCAAACAACACAGCACGTTCATTACACAACACTATGTGGATCACTTTCACAATGGAGTCAGACAACACAACACGTTCATTACACAACAATATGTGGATTTCTTTCACAATGCAGTCAGACAACACAACACGTTCATTACACAACAATATGTGGATTACTTTCACAATGGAGTAAGACAACACAGCACATGCATTACACAACAATATGTGTATCTCATCCACAATGGAGTCAGACAACACAGCACCTTTATTACAGAACAATATGTGGATCTCTTCCACAATAGAGTCAGACAACATAACATGTTCATTACACAATAATATGTGGATCTCTTCCACAATGGAGTCAGACAACACAGCACGTTCATTACACAACGATATGTGGATCTCTTTCACAATGCAGTCAGACAACACAGCATGTTCATTACACAACAATATGTGGATCTCTTTCACAATGCAGAAAGACAACACAACACGTTCATTACACAACAATATGTGGATCTCTTCCACAATGCAGTCAGACAACACAACACGTTCATTGCGCAACAATATGTGGATATCTTTCACAATGCAGTCTCAATATGTGGATCTCTTCCACAATGCAGGCATACAACACAGCACCTTCATTACACAACAATATGTGGATCACTTTCACAATGGCAGTCAGACAACACAACACGTTCATTACACAACACGAATATGTGGATCTCTTTCACAATGCAGTCAGACATAACAGCACGTTCATTACACAACAATATGTCCATAATGCAGTCAGACAACACAAACGTTCATTCACACAATATGTGGATCTCTTTCACAATGGAGTCAGACAACACAACACGTTCATTACACAACAATATGTGGATCTCTTTCACAATGTATCTCAGAGACAACACAACACAATGGACAACAATATGTGGATCACAGCACAATGCAGTCAGACAACACAACATGTTCATTACACAATAATATGTGGATCTCTTTCACAATGCAGTCAGACAACACAGCACCTGCATTACACAACAATATGTGGATACCACTTTGCACAATGCAGTCAGACAACACAACATGTTCATTACACAACAATATGTGGATCTCATTCACAATGGAGTCAATATGTGGATCACTTTCACAACAACAGAGCACGTTCATTACAGAATATGTGGATCTCTTTCACAATGCAGTCACAATATGTGGATCTCTTCCATAATGCATTCAGACAACACAGCAGGTTCATTGCACAACAATATGTGGATCTCTTTCACAATGCAGTCAGACAACACAACACGTTCATTACACAACAACATGTGGATCTCTATCACAATGCAGTCTGACAACACAACACGTTCATTACACAACAACATGTGGATCTCTTTCACAATGCACTCAAACAACACAGCGCTTTCTACTAAAATAGAATGATGAGATTTAGGTGGGTGGGTGGGTGGATGGGTATGGGTGGTGGTATGGGGTCTGTTTAAATGCCAGATATTGAGAACTTTCTATAACATATGAACAGACTGATAAATATTACTTTTGGTTGAACTATTTCACTTTTGTGTTTTGGAAGACACTTTAAATATTTTTTTCTCTGCCAAATAAACCGCAAAATATGTTTCGTATCTTCAAATGTTGGCATAAAACGTAAAACGAAACGAAACATGTCTTGCCTAGCAGAACAGGTTATTTATATGAATAATGTGAGCAGAGAACACATCGACTCTCTGCAGTGAAGATAAAGGTAGATTGGGCAATTTCGGGGTAATGAGGGAACATACTCACCAGTGGTTTACAGCAAGAGCAACCAACACCGTCACATATTATAAGGGTTACACATTATAAGTATCCTATCTGCATTAACCTTCGGGAGGACGAACATAAAGTTGAATGAAACCAAAACGTTCCAGTGACATTCTTTGTAAAGCATCAGCTGTCCAGATGACAGGATTCTGGAGTAGCTGGGTTCGTACAAGAAGTGTTGGTTGTATACATTTGCAGTCCTGATTGAACATATGTAGGAATAGATAGACTCTATAGATCATCCCTACTCACCTGAAGTCATAAAGTTATGCACATAGTCAGCACATCGTTGCCTAGCAACAGTTCCTGCAGGTGTGTAAGGCCAGCACATGATATTGTCAAACGTCATGTTGCAGTAGATTCCTGAAGCACACAAGTAGAGTACAGATAAACACCTTCACTGACAGGGAACGTTATGTTTGTGTGATAAGATTTTTAAAGTTGCAATTAAATGTTGCCTTTTGTGTGCCAAAATAAACATTTATTATTTTAGTGTACGAAATGAGAAGTTGCAAATTGTGATCATATGAAACGGGAGGGAGGGATCAAGTTTGGCGTTGTGCCGCTTGCAGCAATATTTCAGCTGTTCCAGCCTACGGTGGCATCTGTCAGCTCACCCACTATCCCGACCATTCACCGTTACACTCACTCACCTGTTGAAGGGACCCTCGTGTCAGCAATCCGCTTTTGGCAGGTGACATTAGCCAGGTACAACCTAAACAACTGTTTGCTGGTCGGATCCTGGTCAGAGAACAGTCATTTACAATCAACAAAGAAACACAACAAAGAACTCGTCAAATTGATCGTAGGACTAGGAAGGGTTGGTTACGTGGTCAGTGGCGTGTAGCGGTATCTCTATCGTGTCCCATACATGGTCAGTGGCATGTAGCGGTATCCCTATCGTGTCCCAGACGTGGTCAGTGGCATGTAGCGATATCCCTATCGTGCCTTAGACGTGGTCAGTGGCATGTAGCGATATCCCTATCGTGTCCCATACGTGGTCAGTGGCGTGTAGCGGTATCCCTATCGTGGGAAGAGTCATTGCAGACATTCTATGACATTCTTTGTGTGTCGTGACGCTGGAGGACAACTCACGTGGCAAGCAGACGGGACAACAGGGGCTGTCATTATCTTGCCCGGGTAATACTGTCAGTCGTTCTTTCTGGCAGAATGTGGAGTGGAGCTCAGTCAGTTATATTGATGCCACACCTTGACCAATCTAATGCTGAATCAACATTAACATTTACGTGTCATTATCCCCTATTTTTTGTGAAGAGTATATGTACAGCATGACTGTATGGCCGGACATACTTGGAATCATTTGAAATTGTAAGGTTTTTATAATATGTGTTTTGTGTAACTCTGCACTCAGCAATAACCCAATGGTCTGTATGTAATCCAGTCTCGACCAGACAAACCAGTGATTCACACCACGAGCATCGATCTAAGCAATTGGATCAAGTTTATGAACCTGACCACCCGACCTTGTTATTCACCTATTACCTTGCATGTATCAGTTCTAACCCAGTTCTTCAAGGGTCAACATTGTAAGGTAATGGAGATGTTATGTTAAATATCGCCAACATGCAGACGAAAAGAAAAATGTTTGTTCCAAGAATATATACTAAACGTCAAAAAGAAACGCTACCCTCCTACCTTTATGAATTACTGAAAAACTATCAAAGGTATGTTAGAAGGTATTAGTGTAAAAGAAAGCTTAACAACACAGCTTTATGCAAATCACGAAAACAAATTCTGAAATACATTCTGAAATACATTCATCTTTTTTCAGAAGAGTTAAATTGTCCTATATTCGTCCATGCCGAAATAAACCAAAAACAGTTATTTTGATGTCCAAAAGATAGGTTGAAATAAAATTCTGCTTTAGGAAAATGATAAACCATTGAAAGTCATCATTTTTCAACTATTAAAACAAGAAACAACTGTTGTAGAGTGTGTAAAATTGTAAAATAATCATTCCTATGATTTCAGTGTTTTAAAACATTTTCTGCTGATTTGCATTAGTGAAAACATATAAAACGTGTCTTTGATATTGTGAAAAAAATGTTTAGAAAGTAACATTTTTCCATTTTCTGTTTACACATAACAATATCAATCGCCAAAATACAGCAATATTCAAGCACTATTTGCATCCATTTCACATGTAGAATGATTCTATAGGGTATAAAGAGAGCCTAGAATACATTATATGATACACAAGTACGATAAATATGCCTAGATTAACAGCATAAGAGAGAGAAAGAGCCATTGGGATGGTGCAGATAGGGTCGACATACAACGCTGTTGCCAAGACCCTCGGATGCCACCGCATCACGGTTATAAGACATATTCAGGGCTTCAGACAGACTGGGGTCACCGTAGACAGACCAGGAAGTTCACGTCCACGTATCGCAACGCCAGCTGAAGACCTCCGTCATTAAGGAAGGACGGAAACGTTTCTTTTGGCGTTTAGTGTATATATTCTCACTCACAATGTATATTCAAGCAGGTTACTCATATTCTCTCACCGCTCCTCTCAAGCTTCAGATTTGAGTGTACAATGTTCGATTTCCATTCAAACTAAAGTTTCTAACTTATGACAATAACCACGATCATTCCAAAGAAGAACAAGAATCTCACAGTTTTTCCTTGTCAAGAATAGTTCGAATCAGATATGTGTCTACTCTCAAATCAACGTCAGCTTTTTACATTTTTAAAATACAAAGTGTTTTATTGTGGTAAAGTTTCAAGAATAGTCAGTCACAGTTGCACACAAGGTTTTACGTTTAATTCGTGAAGTCTAGAACAATGAGTAATCCTTACCATTGTTGTTGTCGTGCTGGCGAAGTTTGGGAATGTCAAGATGAAAAGAACAGAACTGCAGAAAATAAAGGATGGAAGGAACATGGCCATATTCATCTCTGTGTTCAGTCAGGCACACACAGCTCGGCGTTCTGTATTGGGCTTGCACAACACTATTCTATCTGATCAACTTTGTCCAACGTTCTCATACTTCAATCTTCATTTGCATCTTGACAAAAAGGATAGAAACAATCCACGAATCTATGGCCAGAAAATATAATTTCTTACTCCAAAGACACTTCGTACAATCCTGGAGAAGCTGGAACTTCCGGTTGAATGAAGTGTGAGAGCCTCCTTATCACAGCAAGTAAATATTGAGTTTCCCCAAGACCTTTTGGTATTTCCAGGCGATGTTGACATCTAATCCTGTACTTGCGATCAAGGACTCTGTAGATAACAGGGCGATGGCATTCTGTGAAGATAATAAAGAAGATATAGGCATAATGGCATTACAAAACAAACGAAGCTATTCTCGGAGATCACCTTCGGAAACAGAATACTGGCGGACATGGTTATAGCGCTTTAAGTTCCACGGCCCAGATTATATATCTAAGAAAAAACTTCCCAAAATTATTACAAGAATGAAAATGATAGGACATGTTCACATCACTGACAACTAGCCACTCCAACGTCATGGAATGTCAAGAACAGAAGCACTGCCAACTAGGTATGGTAAAACAGAGGAGAGGAATACTAAACTGTATTTCACTCGGGCCGTGAACATCGGCAGTAGAGGTATCAAATGCAATGAGATGGTATTGGCGGTGATGAAATGGTCGGACATTTGTTTGGGTATTTTAACCAGGGAAAACGTTTTGTGAAAGCCATATATGTCTCAATCCAGTATTAGCAAGTATTAACAGATGATAGCCATTCATAATTTCTACTATAATTGGTTGCATCATCAAACATCATAGGATATACAAAATACGACAACTATAGCCAACAGTCACAAAGTTTGTTTGTGGGAGTTTAGCGCTAGGATGTTTTGACTGTGCCTAGGATCGTAATGAGCTGAGAATAGAGCATGCAGCTATTTACTGACTGACTGAGTTTGTTTTACGCCGCTTTTAGCAATATTCCAGCAACATCACGGCGGGGGGACACCAGAAATGGGATTCACACATTGTACCCATGTGGGGATTCGAACCCGGGTCTTCGGCGTGACGAGCCAACGCTTTAGCCATTAGGTTACCCCACCGCCCCTAGCAGCTATTTAAAGAAGACCAATAGGCTTAATAGCAACGTTTGATCCCCTATGTCCATGTACTTCATGTAATCAATAAAAAGTTAAAGGATGTTTCACCAGGACCAGATAAGTGTCGAGATTGTATGTACATTGGGATATGTCCTTTCTAAAGTATGCATCTGTCGTAATGTATCTCATGGAGAACCTGAAATCAGAAGCCATTTATAGGCAAGACCATTTGTCGTCAAACGTTATTCCTTTGTGTCAGTCGCCAGTACAGCGCCATGTCGGAATCAAACATACATTATTCCTTTGAATCTCCCGCTTCACGTATCGTGGGATGTTGTAATAAAGCACACGTTGTTCCTTATGTCTACGTCAGCTGAGGTCAACAGAAAGGAGTAAGATCAAATGATTCAATTAACTCATGTTCAGATTTAGACGGCATCGTCCAGGCATTTTCCGCGTACAATGCTCGCGCACGCACGCACGCACGCACGCACGCACTCACGCACACACGCGCGCACACACATACTCACACACATACATATTCTAGACTGACGCAGGGTGTAGACGTTAACGGGTTTCGTCATACCTTCAATCAATTAAGTATAAAGGGCAGATCATAATCCAGAGGAATCTGAGATTCGCAGCCACGATCATGCGACCATAAGCTCACCGGAAGAAGTACTGCTTAAGAACTTGTAGGTTAATTAACACTTCTGGCATATATCCTTCGATATACGATTATCGGGTAATACTGAAAGATATGATAAAACTTCCGACCTGTTTTCCTAAAGCTAACGCTTTCTTTTTTAAAGGAAATTTTTTTTTTTACTTATTATTGAAAATTGACACAGACTATCTTGGATATTTCACTTCCGCATTTTCTTATCAGCGAGTTCAAGATTGCCCTAAACCAATCTTAGCTATCCGCGTATTTCAGCAAGGAATCATATACTAACCCCAAAAAGATACTATACACTCTTACAAAAAAATTAAATTTGAAAGTATAACAACAATGAAAAGTTTCCAGGCAAACCTTGACAGGTAGATATCGATATGGACATGGAAGGCTTGTTGACACCTATAGAAATTAATCAAGCACCATACCTAATTCATAGACCTATAAATAATTATGTGAATAAAGCAGACATAGCGTTTTACCTGAATGATTCATCAGCATTTTGCACCTTGTTGTATTGCATGACGTTTTGTTGAGATATTCGATGCACGATGCACGTACAACGGCGCGCAATGCACGTGAAATGTCCGGAACATTGCTGAACTCAAGATTTTACTGATAACATGTCACATTCTCTCCTTTCAATTTGGATTGGACATTCCAGTACTATAATTGTCATGGCACGTCGTAAATTGTCAAAAGTTACAAGGTGGCAAAAGTATTGGCATGAGAAATGCAAGAATGTAATGTACCTCAGACAAATCGGACATCAAGTTTGGCACCAACCTTCCATCATTTCAAGACGGCTACCAATGATGGTAAAGATCTTCCAAGATCCAAGAGAGGACAGAGCATTGGTGAGACTTGTTAAACATAGGACTCAAGCATATCGTCAAGGCAACGTTTTTTACCAGGGAGAATCATTTCCTGCAAGACCGTCAGGAATCAACAAGGATACAGGGCCAGAAGACCCATCAAGTTCACAAAGCAGCACGACTTGCCTTGTGAAATCAACGCGTTTGCATCATGGCAGAGGGTCCACATTTTCGACGGAGACAAAGGGAGACAGTTATGATACCTCGCAATATCCAGAAGAAGGTTCCCTTTGAAGAAGGGTCATTCATGGTATGAGGATGCATTTCATTGGTTTGCAAGATGCACCTCATTAGCATTCGTCGTAACCTAAATGGGCCTCCGTGTCAGAAGGAGAGGGTTGTTGTCCCTCATTTTGATAACCTTCCTCTAGCCACCCCATCTTTATAGATGACACTGCCAGGCCTCACATAGTACGTGCTGTCACCCGGTTATTGCAACAGAATGCTGTAGAGACCATCCCGTGCCCAGCCAAGGGTCCAGATCCCAATCCCATTGAACATCTGTGGGATATTTTTCCCCGCCGTGGTCGACAGGCAATGAATTGAATGCTGCTTTGCTTGAAGAATGGAACAAGATTCCTCAGAATCAAATCCAGAAATTGATCCAAGGAATGAGGTGACGTCAGTTATTCGTGTGGATACTAAAACTACTGATAAAAGTCAGTCAGTAAGACTTGCAAGACAGTCTTCCTTAATTCCGTGAACAAGATGTGTACACGGTACTGACAGTTAAGTCTGTGCATTAAAAGTGCAACTAGCAATGAAATGACGTCATTCTCCGAATCTGTACAATCTTCAAATAAACCAGATTTTGTCATGGTAATCTGGGCAGTGTTTCTCCTCAACCCTTTCCTTTCATTATAAACTTCATATGGTATGGAAATCTTTCACACAATCTATGTACCAGTTTATCAAAGTTGTATTATCTGAGAGAATGGGATCCCTGGCGGCACTTATTTCACCTCCAACCCACATGATCATGTTGACGTCCGTCAGTACGGGAAAAGTTAAATCTGAAGTCGTCTGTGAAAACAAATCAGTTCTCCGCCACAACCGATGTTGAGGGACAAGACTGCGGCACCACCTTTGATGCCGTTGCGTCAGGATATTAACGTATTAGGTTTCCTGTAATGACAGTTCCTGACCTGTCCTGGAATGGTCTGAGCACTGGTCACTGCAGTCAGGAATCTGTGCCAAAGATGGGTCCATCTGGCCTGTCTTTACGTGGTGTCGCATGGATTTCCTGTACGTGGATAATCGGCAATTCCACCATTGTTTGGATAAGGTCTATACAGTGCTGCCATTGTGTTTCGATGGCAATGGAAATGCGCAGCCACCTGACGTTGAGAATTTCCCCAACGAGCTATCCCGGTAGCCTCCTGGAACTGTGCAATCGTGCCATAATAGACGGCTCATTAGCCTTTTATTTTTATGAAAGATCAAACATCAAACAATTAAGCATCCCCATATCAGCAGCAGGTTTTGACACTCTTGTTCTCAACGTCGTATACTGAGGTGCACCTGCACAAATGTGTTGCATGTGCCAATGCCGAAACACGAAACGTAGCACATGCATATATGTTGAATTCACTAATTACTGTATCTAAATCGGTACTGTGTTCAGATGTTGTTATAATATATATTTTTGTGGCTGGTATACACTCAGGGGCAAAAGAAACGATACCATATTATTGAGGCTAATTAATAAAAGATGACAAAAGATAAACAGAAAATCAATGTTGTAATTGACAAATAGGTGAGGAGCATGGAAAATCAAATTCATTAATCGAGGCCAATAATTGTTTGAGATAATTGCAAAAAAACACACATAATATTCATATGTCCTGTATTCGATCACTCCAGTATGATGAGATAAGTCAATGTCAGTGACACAGGGACACTCCTGTGAGTAAATGTCGAGTGTGGTCACCACAGGCATCGATGCAGGCTCTAACACGACGTCGAACAGATGAGGTCAGACGTCTGATCACGTGAGGAGGTATCCTGTTCCACTCCTCCCTCAAAGCCTGGATGAGGGTTTGTCTGTTCACTGGCGCGGCCTGTCTGGCACGAATCTGTCTCCCAAGATGGTCCCACAAATGCTCAATGAGTGAAAGGACCGGAGAGCGTGATGGCCATGGCAGGACAACACCGTTGTTGGCGTTGAGAAAGCCTTGAACACGTTGACCTGTGTGACATGGGACGTTGTCCTGTTGCAATACGGTTCTTGGATTCTGTTGTAGGAAGGGTAGAACAACTGGCCGAAGGACTTGGTCGATATAACGCTGCCCATTCAAATTCCCATCGACAACAACCAGATCTGTCTTTCTGTCACCACATATCCCTCCCCACACCATAACGCCAACACCGCCAAACGGCTTAACCTCCTGCACGCAG